GAAAAAAATCGATGAATAAAAGCTATTGATCGACATACAGCAGAACTCACTGCAAAATGACTTTTTGAGTGAGAAATATGTAACAAGAGGTTCTAACAGAGAGAATCAGTGCCTGTGGACGAAGATCCATCAAAGAAAGGACAAACCCTGAATGAAAGCTTTTCAATTATATTTTTATTATAGTTATCTCTTCGAATAGAAAATAAATGTGTTATTCTTAAATCGAGTTGAATTCACTCCTTGACCACTGAGTTCCAGAGGTAGTTCAGTATGTAGAATTGCCTAATTAGTCATAATTAAAAGCTACTCGACGACACCGAGGAGAACTCACACTGGAGAACAACCTTTTGAGTGAAAAATATTACAAGATGTTCTCGCAGGGAGAACCAGTGCCTATCCACAAGAAGATTCATCAAAGAAAGGATAATAAACCCTGAATGAAAGCTTTTCAATTAAATTTTTATCGCAATTATCTCTCCCAATAGTAAACAAATGTGTTGTTTTTAAATCGACTTAAATTCAATTGCCTCGATCACTGAGTGCCAGAGGTAGTTCCAGTATCTAAAATTAACAGTGAAGAACAACTTTTAAGTGAAACCTATGTACCCAGAGCTTCGCAGAGAGAATCAGTGCCTGCTCACACGAAGTTCATCACAGAAAGAATAACAAATCCTGAATAAACCCCTTCCAAATGCCATTTTACTCACAATTACGTGTTCCATTGATAAATAAATGTGTTATATAGTCCAACCGTATTGAATTCACTTCTCTCCCCGATCACTGAGTTCCAGAGGTAAACGAAGAGAAAAAAAATCCCACAATCCCCCAAAAAAAATAGGTAATAACTGAAAACAATAAGATCAATTCCCCAGAGTTCCCCTGGCATTCACGAAATTTATCATTTCCAGATGCCTACGAGAGGAGGACCTAATATACTCTCAACCCGAGTCATTAAACGTAGAATACCAGTTGTACACGATAGAAACAGACGCTGAAGACACTGAGCTGTACGAAATTATTCAAAACAACGAGGATATCGACTTGACTGAAGCCTGTGTAATCGATCCCCTGCCGTCGTCTGGGTCTCAGGCGTCCCCCAAGCCCTCCGAGCCTCCCCCCCGACCGAGGATAGTGACATACGAGTGCCCTAACTGTCCGAAAAAATTTCGAAAACGACAGCAGTACACAAGACACTTGAGAACGCACGACGATTCATCAGGAGGCGCTTGCCCTCAGTGTGAGCGTCAGTTCCCGGACGATGAGAAGCTCCAGAAGCACATGATCAAGGCTCACCAGAACGACAGGCCCTTTCCCTGTCAGCTCTGTGGGAAGGCCTTCAAGACCGAAGAATTCTTGAAAGTCCACACGAAACAGCACAACAAGAGATTCACCTGCGACGTCTGTGGCATCTCCAAGGTCTCGGGTTATGACCTACGTCTGCACAAGAAGAGACACAATCAGGAGTACACAACCTTCTGCGGTATATGCCACAAGGGATTCTACACGAATCAGACCCTGGAGAGACACGTGCTAACTCACACTGGGGAAAAGCCATTTATCTGTAAAATATGCAACAGCGCTTATGCCAGTGCAGCTTATCTCAGTACTCACGTTAAATCCCACTGGATCCAGAGGGAAAAGCACAAGTGCAATGTCTGTGATTTCGAGAGCCACTGGAAGGCTGCGCTGAAGGTGCACATGAAGATACACACTGGGGACAATCAGTACACCTGCGACACGTGTGGAAAATCAGTCTCCAGTAAGACTTATCTCAGGATTCATATGAGAATTCATACTGGGGAAAAACCTCATGTCTGTGAGATTTGTGGGAGGGCTTTCAGTGTTAAGAAGTACTTGATGGTGCATCTGAGGACGCACACTGGGGAGAAACCGTACGAGTGCAGAGTATGCCAGAAGAGATTCTCGCAGCAGGGAAGTTTAAATTCACACGTGAAGTTGCATAATGAGAGGATTTAGAGGGATTACATGATAAGCTTCCTTGTTATTTTGTGGTCGAGTCTCTGCTGACATTTGCCAATTATTTAGCATTCCCCTGAGGATTACACCAGTGCAAGTGATATGTTTGTAAATATTTAGTCAGTATTTTCTACTTGATATCAATAAATCTATTGAACTTTAATCCGAGTTTATTAAATTGAATTGAATACGGAGATCTCGTCGATTTGTGGTATTTGAAGAGTTAGTTTTGTCGAAGAGGAAGGTACGTATGAGGTGAGTTGACCCTACCCCCTGTCCCATGTAACATTAGCCAAAAAAATCATCAGAAGAAAAACCTACAAAAAACGTAAAATGGACCGCTGTTAATCATGGCAGAGTGAAATTCAACGATTTTTCGTCTCATTTCAAAGGTATTTTTTCAGGATTGAAAATGAGATTTACTCAATTGAAATCCTACCATTTGGTCGGGAGACATGGATCATTTGAGGTCCATTTTACCTCACCTTCCCTCAAAAAAAAAAAAAAAACAAACAGTCTAAACACGAAATTCCCCTGAGCAATAATTTTTACCAGAGCATTTCCTTTTTCTTTTTACAGAAAAGCCTCCCCCAAGTCGCTCTCTCCAAAGACCACGACCCCACCCCCACCGTCAAGCACGTACACCTGCAAAATCTGCCAAAAGCACTTCAAAACTAAAAGCCTGCTAGACGGCCACCAAGTGGCCCACAGCGATGCACGTCCCTACCACTGTGACATCTGCAACAAGTCGTTCAAGCGTACAAATACCCTGGCTGTTCACCGAAGAATTCACACGCGAGAGCGTAATTTCGTTTGTGACGTGTGCGGTCGCGCATTCACTCAAACATCTCAATTGGCGACTCATCAGAGACGTCACTTCGACAAGTACATGTGCCACTGCGAGCAGTGCGGCAAGGGCTTCTTCACGAATGCTGAATTGCACGGACACATGAACATAAAGCACGGAGCGAAGGAGCACGTCTGTCACTCGTGTGGCAAATCATTTCCGAATAATCACACGCTCGCTCGTCACCTCAAGATCCACGACCCCAACTTCAAGCCCATCAAGCACCAGTGCGAATTCTGCGGGAAGATATTTGCGTACAAAAATTCACTGGTGGTGCACGTGAAGTCACACACCGGAGAGAATAAATACGACTGTCATCTCTGTGGGAAGTCAGTGTCTTCTCGAGGATCTCTGCAGGATCACCTGAGACTTCATGGGGGTGAGAAGTCACTCGTCTGCGACGTCTGTGGGAAAGCCTTCCACAAGAAGACCACCCTCATCGTTCACAAACGAACACACACTGGGGAGAAACCGTACACCTGTGATAATTGTGGAAAGTGTTTCACTCAGCACTCGACACTCGTCATTCACAAACGATATCACACTGGCCAACGACCCTATCAGTGTGCCACCTGTGAAATGAGTTTTGTGTCTAAAGCTCTGTTGAATGCACACAGCAGAGTGCACGGTAGTGCCACAACTCTTGGGGACTGAGACGAGAATTTTCTACTGCGTGAAATGAATTATTTTTATACAAAAGTTACTGAAGTAATTAAACCATATTTTCATACCTGAAGCCATGAATTTTGCAAAAGAGAGGAGTAAAACCTGGAAATTGTATTTTTCGAAATAAAAACCATGAGTTTTAAGGACAAACCGAGCTAGTTCACCCCTAAAAAAATCCCAAGAAGACCATTAACATGATCCTCTATTTTTCCAGGCAAATCCCCAGGAACTTAAGTCCACTAAGTCTCTCAAACTGTATCAAAATCGCGAAGCAATTCGACTAAACTCCTAACACTGTAATTTTACTTTCAGATACGTGCAGGTGGCCCTAGCTCCATCGTGCGATTCACCCGAGGGACATCCCTCGACCCCTCCCAGCAATGTGCACCCAGAAGATCCCATAAAGACCGAGGAGTTCCAATGCCAAGAGGACATGCCCCTGGCATACCACTGCCAGCCCTGTGGTGTTTTCTTCCCCTCCCAAGACCTCCTGGAGACCCACAATCTGGAGCATCCCCACAAGCCCAAGCGAAAAAACACGTGTGACACCTGTGGACGAGTATTTCGCACTGCCCTCACCCTGAGAAAGCACATGAAGAAGCACACGACGAAGAAATCAAAATCCCAGGCCTCGAAGAAGGACAAAACCGAGGTTGAATTGGAGTGCGACACTTGCAAGAAGACATTTCGCCACAAGAGCAACTTCCAGAAGCACCTGCTGAGGCACACGACAGGGGATTTGTCCTGCAAACACTGCGACAAGAAGTTCAGACTGTACAGGGACCTCACGAGGCACGAGAAGACCCACTTCTTTCCCAGCTACATGTGCAAGGAGTGCGATTACGAGACGACAGTCCTCGCTGCACTGAGTATTCACATGTCCAGGCACACAGATAAGGCCAATCTTCCCTTCAAGTGTCACGAGTGTGACAAAAGATTCAGAAAAGCTATCGATCTCCAGGAGCACTATAACATTCACTCCGGGGACAAACCCTTCGTCTGCCAGGTCTGTGGGAGTGCATTTTACCTCAAGAGACAGCTCTCCGCCCACTGCAGGAGGAATCACCCTGAGATGAAGGCGAATAAAGTCACTAGTACTGCTTGCGATATCTGTGGGAGAGTTCTGGCCACGAAGAGGTCCCTCTTCAGGCACAAGGAGAGCCACAACCCCACGAAGTTGTACCTCTGTGACTTCTGTGGGAAGAGCCTCAGCTCTGCTGAACACCTGAAGAAACACAGGAGGATTCACACTGGGGAGAAGCCTTACGTGTGCGATATCTGTGGAAAGGGATTCACTGATTCGGAGAATCTCAGGATGCACAGGAGGGTGCACACTGGTGAGAAACCTTACAAGTGCGATCAGTGTCCCAAGGCCTTCTCCCAGAGGAGCACCCTGACGATACACAGGAGGGGACACACTGGGGAGCGTCCGTATGTCTGTCAAATTTGCCACAGGGGATTCTCTTGTCAGGGAAATCTGACTGCTCATCAGAAGAGTACTTGTGTTTAAAGAGGAAAGGAGAGGAGAGAATTTTAATACGAGGGGATGGAAACAATTTGGTATACAGATGAGGCAGATTTTTCTCTCCAGTGCCACGACTGTGACAAAACATTCAGAATAGTGTGGAAAAGGATTCACAGATTTGCCACAGATGATTCTCTTATCAGAGAAATCTCACTGCCCACCAAAAGAGAAGCAACTTGTGTTTAAAGAGAAAAAAGTGAAGAAGAATTAATTAATTTTTTTAAAAACTTTTGGGATTATTTGTTATACGATTCAGTGAACGCAATAATTTAAATGTTGATAGAACAATTATTTGTGGAAGTGATAGTGTTGAATTAATGGCGAGACTTTCGAGCCAATTTTTATTGAAAAATAGTTGATCGTTCATCTCTGTTCTGTTCTGGTTGTTGCAACTGTTGGGGAATGAACAGATAAGTGTCTTTAATGTTTACGATTTTCGTTGCATTATCCATGAAATATCAATCTCAATCACAATGCCATCTGTTCACTCCTCAACATTGATAAGTCAACGTCGAGTCCATCGCATAACAATGTATTCACCTAAAATACTCCAAATAAACAAATTTTATATATTTGATCACCAGATAAATTCACTGACTCCCCCAGCTCGAGTTACAGCCACCCCCAGCTCTCATCCAGCCCCAAAAAACTAGTAAGTAAAGCCTTCTCTAAATACTAAAAGCCACTAAAAATCAGGATTAATCATCTTCTCCTTGATTTTCAGCCTCTACCTCCACCAAACTTGAAAATGTCACCAGGTCTCGCCCAGACTCGTCTCAAAGCCCTCCCCCGAGCCAAAAGCCCCCAAAACTAACTCTCCAAGCTCACCCCCCACTAGTACATAAAACCCCCTGAAGCCACTGAGAATCTCCTAACCACCGAATATTTTGTTTCAGACACGTAATGTTGGACACAATAGCCCATTCCTCCCCTGCTGAGTACCGAGTGGTTGTGGTCTGCAAGCCATCAGGCGAGAAGACAACCTCCCTGATCCTCGGTGACAAAGAAATAGCCCGAAACATCCCCCTGATGTTGCCAACTAAAGATCCACTCTGCACTCGTGAACAGATGATGGAGGCAACAGTCGAGTGCCCCATTTGTCACCGTAAATTTGCTGATCGTGCTGCTGTCGACAAGCACACATCGTCAGCCCACAAATCCGCCTACAAATGCAAGCACTGTGACACATGTTTCTTCACTCAACAAGCACTAGACCAGCACATGGCGACGCACAAGCATCCCCTGGTGTTTCCCTGCCCCCAGTGCAAGAAAAAATACAAGAGACGAGATGGCCTCAATCTCCACATTGTCAGGGCACACAGCAAGATCGAGGCGAAATTCACCTGCGACGACTGTGACAAATTATTTCAACTCAAAGCTGATCTACTTGCCCACATGAGTCGTGCCCACATGCTGCAGGAGTGCAGATTTTGCCACAAAATTGTCAAAGACCTGAAGAACCACGAGGACGCACACAAGAAGAAAAATGCTGACATTATCGATGAGAACTGCGATCTCTGTGGGCAGAGATTCAGGTCAAAAGCCAGGTACGACACTCACCGGAAAAAACACAAGGACGGGAGGAATCTTGAGTGCAAAGAGTGTGGACTCGTTTTCCCGGGGCATCGTGCCCTCATCAATCACAGGGACAGGGAGCACAGGTCGGGGACAACATGTGAAATATGCAAGAAAGTTTTCTACTCGATTACCAATTACTATCAACACGTTCTCGTTCACGCTGGCATAAAGCCGTACAAGTGTGACGTTTGCTCAGAGAATTTCAGCCAGAGAACGAGCTTGAAGAGACACAGGGAGAGGCACGAGGGACCACTCCCACCATTCGACGAAGTTACCAGGATTGCACACCTTGCGAAGGAGTATCTTGATACGTTATAAGTGTTTTTGGGATTAATAAATTGGATGACGTTTAACGAAGTTCACAAAGTGTGGTTAATTATTTTTGTTTATGAAGAGATAGAGATGAAGAGTCTGTGGGAAATTGTGGAATTGTTCGTTTTGTTTTTCAATCCTCGAGTGCTTGAGATGTATCAGTAGATTGGACGTTGGTGTAACCTGTCCCTGTGAACTCTATGAACCACCTGATCGAAGTTCTAATTTCATTGCAGATGCCAGGACGATTTAGTCCGTGATAACGAGCCTCTCGCAACCAGAATATCCCAGCAGTCACCAAAAACCGAACCGAAGAAGCCCACAAGGGCCAAGAATATTGTCATAACGAGCGTCATACATCTCCCGAGGACAACTCCAAAGCCTTTGCTACGACCGCCACCACCTGCTGAAGTAATTTCAGAAGAGGATGTGCCAGCTAAACCCCACGAGTGTGAATTGTGCCCAGCGAGCTTCGACAGACGCAGTAAACTCCTGAATCACATGTTCAAACACAGTGACTCGCGCCCCCACAAGTGCACGGTGTGCAATAAATCTTTCAAGACCCCGAAGTACCTGGTGAGGCACATGGAGGTGCATCAGGAGCCTGAGGAGCTCTTCGAGTGCGAGGAGTGTGGATTCCTGGCTAAATCCAAGTCCTATCTGAAGATTCATTTAATCAGAAAGCACACAGAGGACTGGAGCTTCACCTGTAAACTATGCGGGAAAATGTTCAAGATCCAGGGGGACTACACGACCCACATGAAGGATCACGATGTGGACTCCTGCATCTGCGACATCTGTGGAAAATCCTACGCCAGCAAGAGCTCTCTCTACTTCCACAAACACTACAAACACAAGACCAGAGTCAAAGAGTTTGAGTGCAGTGTCTGCAAGAAACGTTTCAAGAGCCAGAAGAATCTGGACAGTCACACTGAACTCCACAGGATGACCTTCGTGTGTGAACACTGTGGCATGAGGTTCAACTGCAAGTATGGACTGACAAAGCACCTGAAGACTCATACCAGTGATAAATTGTATCTCTGCACAGTTTGCAACAAGAGCTTTAGCTGTTTGACCTCTCAGAAAATTCATCTGCTGACGCATGTGGGGGAGAGACCGTACGTTTGTGATGTCTGTGGAAAGAGTTTCACTCAGCGAACTCCAATGATGCTGCACAGGAGGAAACACCCTGGGGTACATCCCCCTCTGCCTCCTGTGAGAATCTCGGGACTCCTTGGAAATATGAGGGGGGCCATTGTGGATAGAGACGACTAAAGTGGGGGGAGTGTGTGACTATTGAAATTTAATGAATATATCAGAGATCAGAGATATTAATAAATAAATTCCTCAGCTACAGTGGGTTTGAATCATTGCAGGATCATTAACATTCACTCACCACCTCATTTCGTTAATTTAGGATTGTTCCATCGTTCGTTCCACGTTTAAAGTGATTTTTCATAATTTAATGATGACTGTGATAAGTTGATAAAGAGCTTGGGCCTCTGACTAAACACACGACCTAATAATTAATTATTTTCTCCATGTTTTCTTCATCGTTTGAGTGACCCCGTATGTTCTGACATAATAATGTTATTCTTTTCTATGGAATAAATACAGAAATTGATTACTCCACTGGTTTATTGAAGGTTCATATCGTCAATCTCCTCATTCTGCTCGAATCCCCGATTTTTCAAGACCGATAAGTGCATGAAACGGAAATTTGTGACTCGTCCTTAGAAATTGTCATCTGAGCCTGGATTACGTGTCAACCGTTTTATAATAATCAAGTCTTCCATTTAACATCTATTTTACTTTCTCTCTTTTTAGGATACACACGGGGATAATCTCAGAAGAATCTAAAGAAAATATTGAACCCGTCCATTCTTCTGGACAATCTACAAGTGATAAACAAAATATCCAAGAATTGATTAAAAGAGAGAATATGAATCCAGTGGTGCTACTCAGTGATATTTTCACACATTGGGATCACGATGAAGAATTGAGGACTCTCGACGAGTTGCCTCTATCAAAACGAAAAGTGTTGGGAGAATTTTCGAGGAATATTAAAGTGAAACGTGAGAGGATCGATATATCTTCAAAAATCCCAGGAATTCTTTCGAAATTGAAACGAGAAGATGAAGAAATTGTGGATGTATATGACAAGATGTTGTCCCCAGATATTGACATCAAGCTGGAGATGTCAGAAGACGAATGGACCCCGCAGATGTCTTCGAACCCTAGGAGAACGAAGAAGGGAAGAAACCTGGAACTAGAGTCAAAAAATCCAGTGATTGCAGCAGAAAGACAGAAAACAATCGATTCATCTGAAGGAAAGATTGAAAATCGAGTTGAAACCTCTTCAGAATCTCAGAGAGAAGAGTTACAAATTTTTTCTCCTCCCCCAGGGGACAGAACTCCCCCGAGAGTCCCCACCCCCACCCCTCCAACTCCCCCTGTGGAGTCTCTTCCATGTTCTCCATCCAAAGCCGCCACCAGAAAACGAAGAAATTCAACGAAGAAGACGTCCCTCGACGAGATATTCCTGGAGGACTACGAGAACATAATGCCAGGGGATCTCGACGCCCGTGCCCTCTCCTCCGAGGACGAGTGGGCCCCAGGTATACCGTTGTCCCCTCAGAAGCCCTACAAAACCCACCGATCACTCGCAATATCTCAAAAGCCTAGGAGGAAGTCCCTCAAGGGCTTCGAGTGTGACGAGTGCAAGCGAGTCCTGTGTTCGAAGCAATCCCTGATGAATCACATCGACCGCAAGCACCTGAAGAACTTCTTGACGTACTACTGCCTCTACTGCGAGTTCAAAACCACCCACAACAGCTCTCTGCGCAACCACATGGCGAGAAAACACGGCAATCAGTCCTACGAGTGCAACTACTGCAAGAAAAAATTTTGTTCAAAGCACGACGTGAGGGTTCACATTGGCATTCACACGTGCAGCCCTCAGACCTGCCAGGTTTGTGGCACAGTCTGCAAGAATGAAGCAACTCTCAGGAAGCACATTCACAAGATGCACACACAGAAGTTCTTCGAGTGCGACGTAAAAGGCTGCAACAAATCATTCATCTCTGAAGTGAGATTTAACAATCACAAGATGAAGCACTCCGACACATTCGAGTGCAATTTTTCGTGTGGAGAGTGCAATACGAAATTCCCGACTAATCAGATGTTGAATTATCATCTGGAGAGTGTTGATCATCTCAGGAGGCACCACTGGACGAAGAGGAGACGTGATAATCCTTCGAATAATAAATAACGTGATCTTTAGGATTAATGAGTTTATAAAATCATTTATCAACCTAGTGAGTTTGTTGAAGATTTTGATATTAATATTTTGAGAGTGTTTTTTCGTTTGTTGATTGGTTAAACCATTTAGTACGTTAATAGTTTCCTAATGGAGTTAATTTGTAGGAGAGAGTATTTTTCACGTTGCAGTCGAGCTTTATAATACTTCAATAAAACACCAAACTCTGCTGCAAGCAGTTGCGATAATTTTTTATGATTATATCGAGGCATCTATCGTTTGATAACTGAAATATGCATTGAAGGAGAGTGTATGAGACAGAAATGCCTGTCTGAGGATTGAAACAATGTGTAATTATCCATTATCCCTGCTTCTTCGCCCAATGGAACTCTCGACAATTCTTTGAATTATCATCTGGTGATTATTGATCATCTCAGGAGGCACCACTGGACGAAGAGGAGACGTGATAATCCTTCGACTAATAATTACGTGATCTTTAGGATTAATGAGTTTATAAAATCGTTTATCAACCTAGTGAGTTTGTTGAAGATTTTGATATTAATATTTTGAGTGTTTTTTCGTTTGTTGATTGGTTAAACCATTTAGTACGTTAATAGTTTCCTAATGGAGTCAATTTGTAGGAGAAAGTATTTTTCACGTTGCAGTCGAGCTTTATAATACTTCAATAAAACACCAAACTCTGCTGCAAGCAGCTGCGATAATTTTTTATGATTATATCGAGGCATCAATCGTTTGATAACTGAAATATGTATTGAGGTGGAGTGTATGAGACAGAAATACTTGGCTGGGGATTGAAACAATGCTAATTATACGTGACATCTTTGGAATGAACTTTGGAAGATGGAGAATAGAAATAAAGGGTGCAGTTACGTCATAAAAGAGTCTAATTCCAGTGCCTGCTTCTTCACTCAATGGAATTCTCGATACTTCTTTGAATTATCATCTCAAGAGCCACCACTGGATGGAGAGGTGACGTAATAATCCTTCGACTGATAAATAACGTGATCTTTAGGATTACTGAGTTTATAAAATTATTTATCAACCTAGGGAGTTTGTTGAAGATGTTGATATTAATATTTTAAGATTATTTTTCCGTTTATTGACTGATTAAACCATTTAGTACGTTAATAGTTTCCTAATGGAGTCAATTTATAGCAGAAAGTATTTTTCATGTTGCAGTCGAGGTTTATAATACTTCAATAAAACACTAAACTTTGCTCTAAACCGTTACGATAATTTTTTATAATTATATCAAGGCATCAATAGTTTGATAAAATATGTACTTGACGAAATATGACCATATTCATCAATTTATGTGTATGTATGTGTTCGATGAAATATGTACTGAGGTGGAGTGCATGAGACAGAAATACCTGTCTGCGGATTGAAACAATGGTAATTATACGTGACATCTTTGGAATGAAGATAGAGAACAGAACAGAAATAAAGGGCGCAGTTACCTCATAAAAGAGTCTATTTCCAGTCCCTGCTTCTCCACCCAATGGGACTCTCGACAATTCTCAAGGATTAATTGGGAGACGAGAGTGAATTAAAGTGTCCGTGTAATTAAAAACCACAGTAGGTAATTAATTCTGATAATCTCCACGAGAGAAACTTCAGTCCCGAATGAAATTAGCCATAATTACGATTAATATTCCAATGAATTACTCAATGAATTACTTGTGACACTTGACATCACGTTTTTTCACTGTTGACTAATGAATTAAACTCATTTCTGTTCTAGAGCACGAACTCCAGGAGTCCACTTCTGCCAGAAATGTCAGATAGAATTCCCCCTGGAGAGGATGATGAGGCGCCACAGGAGATTTCACACGGCGGCTATGAATAAAAACCTTCAGAGGGATCCTCTAACGACGAGCAAACCCACGAGACTGAGAGTCCACGAGAAACCATGTGAAGTCTCCCCCCAACTTGGGAAGAAAAAAATCACCAAAACCTCGTCCTCATCGTCCTTAAAGCAAGAAAGCCCAGAAGTCATTGAGGAAGAAGCCCTGGAGGAGGACCTCCTCGAGGAGATCGAGTCGTCCCTTCCCCAGGACCCCTCGAAACCCAGCATGGAGGTCTACAGGATCACCCTCCGCCCCAAGAAGCCCACCCCCTCCCCCCTGAAATGCGACATGTGCAGCTACTCGTGTTCAAAACGAAACACCCTCTACGCGCACAAGCGAAAGCACAGCCTGGGGGTTCAGCCGGAAGTCTTCTGCTGTGGTGAGTGTCCCTTCAAGACGACGAAGAAGGCCTCTCTGTACTCCCACCTCTGGAAGAAGCACAAGGACCCGAAGGAGAAGGAGCCCGAGCTCTTCTCCTGCAGTCAATGTGACTACAAAAACAAGAATAAGTACGAGTTGAAGGTGCACATAACGAGGAAGCACACTGACGACTACAAATTCTCGTGTGAAACCTGTGGTAAGAAGTTCAAAGTGAAAGGGGATTTGACGAATCACGTGAGATTCACTCACAGAGAGCAGCCGGTGATCTGCGACGTCTGTGGGAAAACCTGTCTCAACAGCAATTCTCTCTACGTGCACCAGAAGTTTGCGCACTACAAGGCGAAATACGAGTGCCCAATCTGCAAGAGACGAATGGTAACTCAGGAGAACCTCGACGAGCACATGCTCCGACAGCACGAGAAGAGGGAGAACGTCGTGTGCGAGGAGTGTGGAAAGTCATTCTCGAGGAATAGCAGACTCAAAGTTCATATGAGGATTCACACTGGGGACAGACCGTACATCTGTCATGTTTGTAATAAGGCTTTCGCGAGGAGAACAGCGTTGAAGCAACACCTGTTGATTCACACTGGGGTGAGACCGTACGTCTGTGACATCTGCGGAAAGGCTTTCACACAGAAGCCAGGGCTTATCAGCCACAGAAAGTCACATCCTGGGACGCATCCACCGTTACCCAGAGTTCTCATTGATCACATATTGAACGATGTTCTGAATAACTGAGATTACGTGTATGTTGATGCAATAAAATTGCCCCAATTTTCCATTTACCCATGTTTTTTCATTTCTCTCCTCATTTATTTTTTATGGATGTGAGGGCAAGTGAGATAAGAAGACGAATCGATTTCTCTACGTGCGAAGGTGAACAGCTGTCTTTCGTAATAAATTTTCTTACATTTCGATTCAACCTAATTACGAGAAAATTTCTGTGTTCTAGGAGCCGAAGGAAAATACCAGAAGGCAAAGATATACCGCTGAAGAAGAGGAAGAGGTCAGTGATCGTGCTGAAGATGTCGGTGAGGGCTCGCAAAAAATCTGGACCTAAAAAGTCCCCTCCAGAGCCTCAACTCTCACCGCAACTCCCTCCGGACCTCCTGTCCTGCGAGGTCTGTGACTTCAAGTGCAACGACAAGCTGATCATGTCGACGCACCTCGCAGAGAGCCACACAGACGACGATTTCCCGGGGAAAAACCCAGGAACGCCTATAGAGGGCACCAAGAAGTTCAGCTGCAACATGTGTGGCATGATTTGCGCTAAGAAGGAGACCCTCAATGCTCACTACATCCGAAAGCACACGGAGATTTACGAGTTCAAGTGCGACAAGTGCGAGAAAAAATTCAAGATCAAGGGGGACTTGACGACCCACTTGAAGAGAACTCACAGTGAGGATCCAGTCGTCTGCGACGTGTGCGGTAAATCCTGCAGGGACAAGCACTCCCTCTACCTCCACCAGAAGTACTCCCACTACAAGGGAAAATTCACCTGTGAAAAGTGCGGAAAGTGCCTGACGAGCGAGGAAAATCTGGCTCATCACCTCAAGTACCAGCACGAGCAGAAGGAACGAAAGATGTGTGAAGAGTGCGGGAAGACATTTGCCTCGGTCTTCGATCTCAAGAAACACATGAGGACTCACACTGGCGAGAAACCCTACGCCTGCAAAGTCTGCAACAAGACCTTCGGCAGGCACTCTGGCCTCAATCAACACCTTCTTCTGCACACTGGCGAGAAACTTTACGCCTGCGACGTCTGTGGGAGAAGTTTCGCACAGAAATCTGGACTCATTGGACACAGGAAGAAGCACCAGGGGGATCTACCTCCTCTCCCTCACATTCAGATTGATCACATCGTCAAGGGGATGAAAAAGAATTGATGAAGGGAATTTCCTCGTGATAATCTTGAGATTATAATTTTGCATAACTTTAACTCTTAGAATCAACGAATTTAGAATTGAGGGAGACGAGTCACTTGAGGAGAACAGGGCATCTACCTCCCCTCCCTCACACTCAGATTGACCATATCATCAGTACGATGAATCAATATCAATCAATCAAATTATGTGATAATATTAAAATAATAATTTTCCAAGAATAAACGACTTTTCAATGAAACTAGTTTTTTTTCCCTGTAAATAAACTTTAAAAAATCCTTCCCTAATCCTCCAATCGACTATTTACCCCCAGTTGCACAGGAATTTCCCCCTGCCCACCCTAAAATGAATAAATAAACTAATGGAACCTTTCCTGTTTTCCAGATCACCAGATAAACCCCGAGACCACGACGACAATCACGGCCTCTTCATCTTCGATCGCGCCTCAGTGGTAATGCGAAAATGGCAGATACTGGAGTTCGACGGAAAGCCCTACTACGCCTTCGTCCCCGAGAACGAGGAGCCCCTGGACCCCGACGATATCCCAAGCCTGGACGACCCCGAGGAGCCCCCCAGCACAACAAAACTGAAGCTAGAGGCTCTAGAATCCGACGAAGAAGCCCTGGAGAACGACGAGAGCTTCTACGACTACCAGCTGTCGTCCCCCGAGGACCAGGACCCCGAGGACTCCTCCCAGGACGTGAAACCCATTCTCCTGAACGGAATAACAGACACTGGAAAATCCGACGAGGGGGATTTGTACCAGGTGAAGATCGAGGGTAGTGTTATCACGCTGGAGAAGCTAGCAGAGGACGTGCAGGCCTCAAAATCATCGGAGTCAATTCTCCCGGAGCTCGAGGATGACCAGACGGCCGACGAAGACGCTCACCAGGAGCCCTCGGACCACGAGGAGCCCGACAGACTCGAGGACGACGAGGAGCAGCCCCAGGAGGTGCCGAATTACGAGAAGAAACGCGAGCTAGAGGCGATTGAATTCGTGGGAGTCGACGCCGAGGACGAGGACGAGGAGCAGGTGGACGACGTCGAGGCCGTTTCCCAGAAGTCGGAGGTCTCCCCTCAGGCCTCGACGAAGCAGAAAAAAACTAGGTACAGGCAGGCGTTGCCAACAGCCTCAGTAACGCTCAAGTGCAAGGTCTGCGGGGAGACCTTTGGCTCGGCGATAGCCTTCAGGAAGCACGTGGCCTGGACCCACAAGAAGAAGGTCTGCATCCAGGAGGACGGGGCCTTCATCTGCGCGGTGTGCGACTACAGAACCCTGAAGAAGAGTCTGTTTGCAGCGCACCTCGAGAGGAAGCACGAGACCTGGCCGAGGAAGGGCCAGGGGACTCTGGTGTTTCCCTGCGCTGTCTGCGGTTTCGTCTGCAGGTCCAAGCACTCCCTCCAGTCCCACTTCATCAGAAAGCACACGGACAAGTACGAGCACCAGTGCAAGTTCTGCCCCAAGAAGTTCAAGGTCAAGGGGGATCTGACGAACCATGTGAGGTTTCATCACAAGGAGAAGCCGATTAATTGCGACGTTTGTGGGAAACTCTGTCAGAACACTGGGTCTCTGTATGTTCACCAGAAGTGGGCGCATTACAAGCCGAAGTACGAGTGCTCAATCTGCAAGAGGAGGATGGTGACTCAGGAGAACCTCGATCAGCACATGGTGACGCAGCACGAGAAGAGGGAGAAGATCGTTTGTGCGGAGTGTGGGAAGACCTTCACGAAAAAGGATTCGTTCAAGAGGCACATGGCTGTGCACACTGGGAGCAAGCCTCACGCCTGTCCAATTTGCTCGAAACCGTTTGCCAGGCAGTCTCAGCTGAGACAGCACGTGCTCATTCACACCGGGAAGAGGCCTTTTGTGTGCGATATCTGTGGGAAGGCGTTCACTCAGAAGCCGGGGCTAATCTGCCACAGGAAGACACATCCCGGACCTCATCCACCCCTTCCTGTCATGCCTATTGCGGATTTGGTGAATGAGTTCACGGCTGAGTACCTTCAGGAGACTAGCAATGTCGGGCAAGAGGACGAGGAGGAGGAGGAGCTCGAGGGGGAGGAGGAGGAGGAGGTCGAGCAGATCGACGAGATCAGCGAATAGTTTTTTCATTCTGGGGGTTTCGGGGAAAGTGTTGAGTTAGTTCAAGGAAATGTTCAGAGGACTATTTCCTAGTTGTAGATATCTGACAGTTTGTAGAATCTTATTCTATAGACGTAATAATGTTTCCTTTTCAGTAATCGTAAGTGCTAATATTTTTTTAAGGTTTAATAAAATTCATGATGTCGGATAAACACTGTGTAAAGTTTCAGAGGTTCGAAATAAATATTTTTCACGCTCGAGGAGGTGTAATTCACGAAGTACTTTTTTTTCGTCGAAGGGTCTTTGTTCTCTCCGAGAATTCATAACGAAGTAGATTATCTGGCAAAACTTCTGCTCGTGATATTGGGGAAAAAAGGAAATGCTGGGAGCTGAGTGTTTCCTTGTGCTCTCGGAAGTTGCATTATCTGCGAAGTTTTCCCTTCGACACAATTGCGAAGAAAACAATTATGAAATTTTAACGAAACGTTAATTGATGCTTCATTTCTCATTCAACTTTTCAGCTTCTAATTTCTTGAGATTTTAATTAATATCTTCTTTTAATTGAAAGAGAGGGGCAAGATTTAATAAATATTCTGATTGTTTTCAACTCGAAAGCACATTCAAAGGTACAATGAGTCGATGATATTTCTCGATTTATCGTCAATCCGACATTTTTCCGCGTAAAATAACTAATTTCCACTCTTCAATGACTTCACGTGCATCACTGAAGCACTTCCGGTTCAGCGGAAGGTGCCGAAATGACAGACTGTGTAACGAAAACCGAGGTAATGTCATTTTCATTAATTAAATAAACATTTTTTACCCGAGTGAGGTAGTTATTCGTTCCTTAACAGTTCCCCTCAACTAAATCTTCTCATGAAATTCGGAATATCACCTCAAAGCCCTCGAAACTCACAAAATTCCGATCGAAAATGCCAAAATTGCCTCAAAGCTCGTCAATCGCAGAATAAAAACCGGAAAAAATGTCTTATATTGCAGCGCGCCGATGCCCTACATCAAAGTGAAGCAGCTGAAGGACCTGCAGGAGACGCCCCCCCAGCCGCCCCTCATGAAGAATCTCCTGCTGATGGACGGTTACAAGCTGAAGCTCACGTGCAAAGTCTGCGCCGACGTATACTTCGGGGCATCGACAGACCCCGCAGCCCGCGAATTCGCTCGAGTCCACCAGAATGTTCACAGCCACAAGTGCCTCATCTGCCCGAAGAGGTACCTCCGCAAGGAGAACCTAGTGGCCCACCTGTCTGACTCCCACAGAGGCGACTGTTTCTTCTGCGACAACTGTCCTCACGCAGTGCGGGACAAGAATTTTCTGATAAGACACATGAAGAAGAAGCACCCCGAACTAGTCGACGAAGAGGACATGAGCGATAAATACAAGAGTCTGAAGCAGCTGAGAAACCGCGAGGTGGTGGTTTACCAGAATCGTCTGCCCACCGAGATGAACAGTGGCCTGAAGCAGTTGAGAAACCGCGACGTTCTGGTGAGGGAGGAGAAGGAGGAGAACTTCGTCTGTCACCACTGTGGCTACGTGACAAAGGACAAGGCCAAGTTGGCGAGCCACGCGGCCCGGTACCACAACCAGCAGAAGTATCCGTGCAAGAAGTGCAAGAAGATATTGCTGACGCAAGAGGGTTTTGAGAAGCACATGGAGAGCCACAAGCAGCCACCAAAGACGTACACCTGCGACGAGTGTGGAAAAAACTTTGCGGGAGCCTGGAATCTCAGGAAGCACATTTTGTCGCACAGTGGGGTGAAACCACAACAGTGCACCATTTGCGAACGCAGGTTCTCGTCGAGGAGCTCGTTGAGGCAACACTTGTTGACGCACACGGGGAAGAGGCCGTACGAGTGCGATATCTGTGGCAAAACGTTTGTGCAGAAGCCAGCGTTGACGGGACATCGCAGACAACACGGGGGCAAACTTCCACCCATGCCCAAAGTTTATATTGATTCTTTTATTAAGGAGGTCGCTCCCAGTGCTATCAGCCACCTTTCGAAGACACCGGTGGAGCGTAAGGATGACGGGGTGAACTTTGAGGACTTCAATGTCGAGCATTAGTTGGTTGTTTTGTTCTGGTTTCATGGGTTTGACATTGAGGGGATTTTGAGGGTGTTCAAGTGAAGAATAATTACGTTCTTGAGTTTTTTTTCTATAACAATCCATAAATTCACTGGGTTTTTCGTATTTAATGCATTTTGTACTGCATTCAATGAGTTTTGAAATAATTTCATAAAGTGGAAATTTGATTCCCTCACTTGAATGTTCTCAATTATTAAAGAACATTGAAAATTATTCTAAACAGTTTATAAGTGTGTTTGTTACTTGAAGAATGGCCCCAGCCAAAGCAATTTTGTAAAGAGGAGGAAGCATTAATAAAGTTCAAGAGTTTTCCTAAATTTGCTGTATTTTTATTTCCTGAGCCTTTAAAACTGTTCGATCCTCTTTATTGTTTCTCCCCTTTGTTTATGACTGCTCGACAATATTTAGAATATTTTGAGGGAGTGCCAGTGATATGTTTCAAAGAATCATATTTTTTCTACTATAAAAATTTAAAAAATTCACTTCATTGGGATTTATTCAATTTAAGTGAATTTATCGCGACTAAAATTTAATAGAGATAAAATTTAATAGAGTGAGAATTCGATCCATTCACGTGATTGTTTTCAACTATTAAAAAATATTCATAAGCTTGTTTTTTGTTTGAATGAAGGCCTCATCCAAAGCAGTTTTGTAAAGATGAAGACGCAACAATAATGTTCAAGTGTTTTCCTAAACCTGTCGTATTTTTATTTCCCCTTTACTCGATATTTAATTGATCCTTTGACTCATTTTTCAGGATGATGATTGATTTTCAGGTTTCAAGGTTTTAAAGGACACTCATATATTTATATACACATTTTCTCTTACCGACGATACCGAGTGCCGATTTAATACGATCAAAATTAATTAAACAATTGAAAATATTAATTTTTAGAAAATAAAGTTAGTTAATTAACTGAGTCAATTTACTTCATTTATTTTGTGCTAAAGTCCATTTTTTTTAAATTTGATCAAGTGAAAATTTAATCATCTTATTTGGATATTCTAAACTACTAAAGTTAATGAAATATTTTTGTCAATAGTTAATGAGTGTGTTTGTTATTTGGAAGATTTCAGTCCAAAAAATTTTGTAAAGAAGGAGAAGCAACAATAAAGTTCGAGGATTTTTCTAAATGCATAGTTCAATTTTTTCTTCCTCATTCCATCCTTTCAGTCCTCCCGATTATGCTTCAGGTGCAATAATTTCGAACGTTTTTCACATTTTCTTCCTATCAAAATCGAGGTAATAAACTCCATCAATATTAATGAAATTTAATTGACTTCATAACGACCAAAATTGATTGATTCACTGAATTTAAAATAAAATATCATTTCACTTTACAATTGACAAATTTCATTCGATTAAACTCAATCAAATTTAATGTCAATATAATGCAGCTAAAATTAATTTTATCATTCCATGAATGTCGTCTGCCATTCGTAGAATTAATCAAATGCAATCAAGTTAAGGCCCGGGTAGATTATCTTTCGAACGTGATCTTGGTTTTTTTTTTTTTTTTGATAATCTGAAATGATCTCCAATTGCTATTCAGTTTTCCGTAGTTCTGGAGTCTCCGAAAATTATGATTGTACAATCAAAAAAACATTGAAAAAGAGCTGAACATTTTCAAAGAGCCTTTTTGTATAATATCGGAAAATAAACCCAATAGGGAGGAAATTGCAAATTAATAATTTGATGTATCTAATGACTGTTAGGTCGTCATTTGTCACAGTAGTCAATGGCTGCTAGATCGTTAGTTACCATGATAAATTATCCGTTCACTATTTTCTCTCTATCGGACTTATTTCTTAATCTTTATTAAAAACGCTCTTTGAAAATTTAGTTTTTTAAAAAATTTTTTGATTGTACAATCTTAATTTTTTGGGACTCCTGCGTGATGTCAAATCCAATGGACATTGTGATATATTTTACATTACGAAGATGAAAAAACAATCGAGATAACGTTCAAAAGATAACCCACCCGGGCCTTAAATTTCATATTCAACGCATTAAAAAATGAAGAAAAATGATCGCCTGCCCCTCGGATATTCTGAACAACTAAAAATCACAAAATTGCGAATCATTAATAAAAATAAATAACCATCAATAATGTAATGAATTCACAATAAACAAATCCCTGAAATTAACCAATGGCTCTCAAACTAAATGAAGGACCTCAAGAATGATAAAAAATACTTCACAGTCCCGTTTGTAAACCTAAAAAAATTCAAGACCGTCTCGAAGCCCTCTAATTATTCCCACATCTCTGAACCCCCTCACTAATTTCCCAGATTTAACTCTCAGAAAATTTCAGATTCCCCAGAAAGCGTTCGACGAAGAAAAATCCAAGAACGGGTCACAAGTGTTCCCACTGCAGCGCAAGTTTCTCCCACGTGATGAAGCTGGTGGAGCACCTGAAGAACACCCACAGCGTGACGCACGCCTTCAGCTGTGACGAGTGCGGAAAGACATTCAGAAGCCCAATGAACATCGCAAGACACAAGATCATTCACTCGGGCGTGAAGAAGTACAAGTGCGATTTGTGTGACTACAGCTGCCACCAGAAGACAAACCTAGAGTTCCACAAGAAGCGACACATGCGGGACTTCGGATTCAAGTGCAATCTCTGCGAGAAGGCATTTCTCTTCAAGTGTGAGCTGCTGGCTCACGAGAATGTCCACAAGAATATAAAGGCTTTCAGGTGCGAGCAGTGCGGAGCTGCTTACATCCACAGGAAGAACCTGCTGGTCCACGAGAGGCAGTATCACGGAGAGAAGAAGAACAGTGGAGCTGTCCAAAAGAAGTCCTCGAAGGTCCTCTGCGCGACCTGCGGCATGAAGCTGTCCAGCAGGAGCGCCCTGAGGGCTCACGAGACCATTCACACAGGCGAGAAGAAGGAAATCTGTGATATTTGTAAGAAGGGGTTCGCCACAAAGTCGGGCTTAGTCGTCCACAGGAGGAGTCACACCGGGGAAAAACCGTACAGCTGCAACCAGTGCAGCAGGGAATTTGCGCAGAAAACGTCTCTCATCATTCACCTGAGGTACCACAACAACGACAGACCTTATTCCTGCAAGAGATGTGGGAAAGGATTCGTCTCGAGGACTCGTCTTACTAGTCACGTAATCAAAGTTCATGGGGTGGTTTGAGGGGGCGATAGGAGAGACGTCATCTAGAGGGAGGGAAAATTTATTGGGTAATTAAGTTCTTTGCATTTTCCACTGTTTCTAATCAATTTAATTGAGCTGAGGATGCAATAAAGTATTGATCTGCCAGGATATTTGACTTTGAAATTCACTCCTTGAGCTCTCAATCCGCGATTAAATCTGTTACAAATATCACTGAAAATTTCCTTGTGATACTTGAGGGGGAGTTGTTCGGTAGAAGTGCTCTGAGAGCTCACGAGACTGAGGTACCACACAACGACAGACCTTATGGCAAAGGGTTCGTCTCGAGGACTTGTCTTACTAGTCACGTAATCAAGGCTCATGGGGTGGTTTGAGGAAGAGACAGGAGACGTCATCCAGAGGGAGGGAAAATTCATCGCGTAATTAAGTTCTTTGGGTTGTATTTCCGCTGCTTCTAATTAATTTGATTGGTTGAGGCATTGTGGAGTCTTGCAGCAACTGTGCATTCAATGCAGCAATTTCATTCTGGGAGTAAATTGCATTTGCAGTCTGAGGATTCGATACCACGGTCTATATTCTAGGAATAATTGCATAAATAAACGAGGTCATCAAGTTGAATTTGGATGTGTATTTCCGGTAATGGACGGATGCATTATTTTGGCGTTCATTACGTCTCGTCGTTACGTAATTTTGATTGAACGACCTTTCGTGCTAAATGGATGATTTCCAGAGGGCTAAATATCTAAATTCTGCGCTTACGTCACACAAAAATTGTCTAATTAATGATGCGATTGGAGTTTCGAAGCTGGAGATTTATTATTGATATCGAATAATTCAGTTAAAAATAAAATATCGAGTTGCTAGAATGGTGAACTTTGAAATTCACCCCCTGATCTCTCACTCCACGATTGAATCTATAACAAATCAGTAGCGAAGTGGTCACGCGATTTAAGTTGACTTCGGTTATTGGCCGGTCTTCAATAAATATCTCGAAATCTAAGGGAGATAGCAAAATTTTTCTCATAACCTTTTTAGTACACTAAGAAAAACAATTATTTTTGCCAAATATCCATTTACTTGAGAGAAGTATTTATTTTTTAAATGCCGTATTTCTCCAGTCGAATCATCCCCAGGCAATCCTCGTTAGGTGTCAATTATGACAATTATATTGCTCCAGAAGATGAGTTCGTTAGTTATCCCTTTGAGTGCGCTCCCTCAATAATTATCAACATTAAAACATTAATCGAAATTCTTCCCTCTAGAAAGTAAGAAATTTAGAAAAAATGAGTAATTATTGGAGGAGTTCAGCCAAGGTCAAATGCAACATAGTCATCCTGTAGAGCAACATGATCGTCATATTTAAAACCTATTCAGGCTCTCCTGAGCATGACTCAATAGGAAAAATACGATTTTTAAAAAATAAATGCTTCATTCAAGTAAATGAATATTTGGCAAAAATAATTTTTTTCTCAGTGTATCACTCAATTCACTCTACAAAAAAAGTTATTATGAAAATTTCTCAATCTCCCTTAAATTCGGAAATATTTCTGGAAAACTCAACTAAAGACGAAATTAACTTGAACCGTTTGACCACTTCGCTACTGAAATATCACTCGAAATTTTTCTAGTCTACTCGAAATTTTATAATCAAGCTGAGAATAAATGGCATATGAACCGCTGAAATTCGATAGAGCACTCTAAATTCCAGGAATAATTCCATTAATAACAGAGGACATCAAGTTAAATTGTGATTTTTATTTCTGGTAATGGACTGATGCATTATTTCAGCATTCATTACGTCTCTTCGTTATGTGATTTTGATTGACCGACATGTCATGTTAAATTCATCACTTCTAGAGGAATAGATACCAGAATTCTGCGCTTATTAATGAGGCGATTGGAGTTTCCGCTGGAGATTTATTATTGACATCGAATAATCTTGTTAAAACTAAAATATCCAGTTGCCAGTCTTTGAAATTCACCCTATAATGTCTCAACCTACCCCTGAATGTGTAACAAATTTCTCTACTCTGCATGCTAACGCGTTTTGATCTGACAAGCTTTGAATTCACTATCTCTTGAACTCAATATTGAAATTTGGTTCTGTGTAATTATGGACGTAAATTGCACATGAACCGCTAAAATTCGATAAAGCACTCTAAATTCCAGGAATAATTCCATCAATAACAGAGGACATCAAGTTACATTGTGATTTTCATTTCTGGTAATGGACTGATGGATTATTTCAGCATTCATTACGTCTCTTCGTTATGTAATTTTGATTGAACGACCTTTCATGTTAAATGGAAGATTTTCAGAGGAATAAATACCAGAATTCTGCGCTTACGTCACATAAAAATTCTCGAATTAATTAAGCGATTGGGGTTTGAGCTGGAGATTTATTATTGATATCGAATAATTCTGTTAATAATAAAATATCGAATTGCCAGGGTGTTGAACTTTGAAATTCACCCCCTGATCTCTCAACCCACGATTGAATCTGTAACAAATATCACTCAAAATTTCCCTATTCTGCATATTAACACGTCTAGGTCTGACATGAATCGTTTTGAATTGAGTTATCCTTTCGCTCTGGAGTTTGAGTATTTCGCTGAGTGTATCCAGACTCCTAATGATTCCATCGAAACGCAGTGTGGTCAGAAGTTTGCATCGTTGCAACATTGACACAAGCAAATCATCCAGATCCTCACGGTTATTACGGAGTTGAAGTATTACTTCGACTGAAATAGGAGAAATCTTACCTTTAAAGACGGCTTTTGTGTGTAATTAATTATTCGAACTCGAGGGTTTCAGCGACTGTCTGCTGATGGCGGAATTCAATCACCCACTTTCAGTTTTAATTGACATGTTAATTAAGTTGTGATGATTTAATACTGGTGTTAATTATGCAATTATCTCAGTAATGAAGGGATTTAGAAGAAAATATTACCAGACTTTTTCATCGACTCACTCACTTAAAGATGATTAATAATCAATAAATTGTCTGAAATTATGATTACTCCACAAATTATTCAGGTACTTAACTCAAAGAAAGATTTAGATTTTTTAGATTTTTTAGTCAGCCCAAAAAAACATTTTGATTTTCAGGAACGCATCTCCAGATTTTAGGAATCTATCACCAAATTTCAGTGATAAAAATCACAAATCGTCAAGGTCAGAATCATTCTAGTGTCCAAGATCACCAACAATTGGTGACATGTCCCAGGAAATCAGTGACATATTCCCAAAAATCAAAACTTTGTTTTCTGAGTGACGGAGTTCGAATTACCACGAAAATTGACTCGTGTCGTCTGTCTCTATCTAACACTCGACACCTATTTGTCTCACTCGCACACTGATCACCACCGGGGTTTTAATAATTGGAGATTAGATGGAAATTAGGACGACGCGTGACACTGTAGCCCGCTAGGGGCGCTACTGAGCGAGAGACCGCGAAAACCATCACAGAAAGTTCAACTAGAGCTGTTTTCCGAATTAACTGATCAACTGATTAACTGATTATTCGAATTTACTGATTAATTTCGGAGTCGTCGTCCTATTTGCGGTCGAACGAGTGTCTAGTCATCCCAAATTTTGCCCCCAAAAACCCGATGTCCAACGGAAATGGAACAAATAAGAGAATTAATTTCACGATTTTCAGTGCTGCCACCTCCGCCGAGTTACTCATGTCGTCGTACTAATTCTAAAAATCAATCATGGGATCAATTTCTGCAATTTATCGGTCAATTTAAAAGATTTTCACACACATCATCCATTCGGCGAATTCACTTGTCCGACATTTTGTTTAGAACTAGATTCCCCCCACTCCGCGATCTAATATGGCGCCGGCCGGCCGGTGAGTGGCGTTCGGTGTAGCTCCGGAAAATCGTGTTTATCGTCTAAATAATCCCGAAAAAACCAATTGACTCGCGAACAACCCGTTATTAATTAATAAATAGTGTATTGAGTGATCTAGTTTCCCAAAATAATGGTGTTGACAGTGAAAAATCATCGAGTTCGATGCGCAACAATACCATGTTGATCATTCAAGTGACCGAAAAACGAATCAAGTGACTAGAGAATATTTTTTTCGAATGAAGAGACGAAAATATTTAAATCCAAACCCTCTCCCTTTACCTAAAAGTATTATGAGATCAATTTTTACAATTTATCCGTCAATTTCACAAATTTCAACATTCATTCGGTGAATTCACTTGTCCGCCATTTTGTTTAGAACTAGATTCCCCCCCCCCTCACCGCGATCCAATATGGCGCCGGCCGGCCGGCGAGTGGCGTCTGTGTAGCTCCCGAAAATCGTGTTTATCGTCTGAATAAACCCGTAAAAAACTTATTGACTCGTGAACAACCCGTTATTAATCAATAAATAGTGCATTGAGTGATCTAAATCCTTAAAATAATGTTGAACACTTGTTAAACAAAGACAAATTATTCGCCAATTCGCGCATGCGTGGGTTCAATGCCCAATTGCCCTCTCCCCTCTCCCAGTGTGTGTTGTGTTTACCCGTTTCGTGACCCCCAGGTTGTGTTTACTGTCGAAATAACTGGAAAATCCTTAGACTCGGGCAGAATAATCATATCTAGAGTGAATAACCCTCGAGTTCGATGAACATCTGCTCAAATTTAATTAAGCAAACTCAACCAGAGTACTTCAATTCACATTAACTTTCGTTTAAAATCGACTTCAGATATTAATCTTCACAATTTAAGTCATGTTTGTACTACCTTAACTGTCCAGCAATTTGTTAAAAAAATCGTCTCAACAGTTCAAAATCCCAAGCCATGAAAAAGCCATAAAAATGACATTTCCAGAGTTTGAACCATCCCACCCACTCCCCTAAAACTTAAATCTAAACCCTCTCCCTTTACCTAAAGTACTCGAGTAATACGTGACCAGTAGTCCAACAGTGCTTCTAAAGTTTCTCGATCTACTCTGCTCCCACACGTGTCCACTGTACATCTGAAATCTGGCCATTGGTACACTCGGTTGGAGGAGATAAGACATGTCCTCGAAGTGTGAAATATTGACTGGATGAATGGGAAGGGATTAGGGAATTAATTCAGTGGCTTTCAATGGAATGAATGGACACACCGAGTGATACTGAATACCTATGTTGTAAGAGACAGTTAATTGGGGACAAGCGGAGACTAAGGTCTGCCAGGCTGAATCATCGATTGTGTGCTGTCGATGGTCGGTGTTTCTGATTGAAATGTGGAGATTCCTGAGGGAATTTGGAGCACCATTTGCCAGATTAAGGAGGCACTGGTTTGAGATTGATGGGTAATCGAGTTGGAGATTGTTGAGGGCGTGGAGACGACCGAGATGCCGCAGGTATCTATTGAATCAAGGGTCTCGATCAATGGTAAGTCGTTCACAATCTTATTCAGTGGTTACTTTGAACTGTTGTGCGGAATTTGCCAGTCTTTGAAGGCCCCTCTGAGGTCTAGGGACTTCAGACCGTCCCCGGAGGACACTGTCACTGCTCGCAGGAGTTTTGATACGTCCGTCACACCCAGATTTGAGTTAACAATGCTCAGGGTTTCTAAACTATTTTGACTCCTAGAATTTTTGGGAGGTTTAGGAGGGCGATGGGGTTTTTAGGGGATTGCGCGGACTTTGAGTGATGGTTTTCAGGATTTTTTTTGAGAATTATTTTTGTGGGGAATTGGTTAACTAGAATAAGTTCATTTTTTTTTTCGAAAATGTGTTTTTTTTTGGTTAAATCGCTTCCTAACAATTTGTGGAGGCGATTTATCAAAAAAAAATGTTGGCAAAAATTGAACTTACCCTAGTTTACCAATTGATGACAGAGTTGTCTTCAGAATTATTTTTTTAGGATTATTTAAAAATAAAGATATTTAGCCGGAATTTGAATGGCGAATTCTGTTGAGTTATGGCCAATTTTTTACTGATTTAATATTTTCAGTTATAAAAATTGACAAAAATGTGAACATTTAATCCTAAACAATTATTATTTTGCTTTAAATTGGGTTACTTTAGTTTTTGCGGCTATAGACATTCTCATATTATTTAGGAAATTTTTTTTCAATAATTCAAGACCCAACAAATATAAGACTCTGTTTTCGTAATTCCAGATTTTTTCTGTGAAGAAAAGTCTTATGAAAAGTTTGCTATCTTCTCTAGATTTAGTGATATAGTGAAAAATTTAAAAGTTAACTTAACACGAATTTCGCACTGGTTTAATCTTCTCGTCTGCAAAAATCTATAAAAATTTGCATATATTGGTTTATAAAACGATTTGAAACGGCTCAAAATACTCATTTGTCAAATAAATTTCTCAATTTCTTAGGTAGAAATTTACAAACCAATTCCCCCCAGGTTTAATCTTCTCATCCGTAAACATCCATAAAATTTGAGTGTATTACCCTATGAAACGATTCAGAGCATACAAAATCTTCCCTCGATAATTCCAGTTCGTCCCGAAATACCAATTTGTCAAAATAAATTCCTTCAACTGAACTTCTTTCACTTTCAAAGCTGTCAAGAAGTCTACCCCCTCCTGTGCCCTCACATTGGCAGAATTTCTAGTTTCCTTCGATAGGACGTAGGGTCTGGACCATGCCAGCTCCAAACTCCGCATGTGCTCCCCATACTTTCCCTATAATGAACTCCAAAAATTGAGATTTTGAGCAATAGAAAAATTTCAAAGTAAAATATCCATCCATCCATGAATAAAAAATTTAAAAATACAAATTTTCATGAGTAGAAAAATTAATAATTGTATCCTTACAATAAACTTGAAAAGTTAAGATTGTTATGAATAGAGAAATTCAAAACTACAGTTTCCACGAATAAAAAACTTTAAAAAACGAAATTTTCATTACTAAAAAAATTAAAAATTAGGATTTTTATGAACAGAAAAATTAAAAATTGAAATTTTCAATTGAAACCAGAGTTTAAAACCAGAGTTCGTAGCAAAAATATGTCATTCTACATGTGAATGTTTTTCTGGGCTCAAATGAAAGAGCGGGTCGAGAAATGGCGTGCTAATGACTCTATGAGCTGTGTGAACTTGGAGTCGAAGTATGATAAATCGATTTTTTTTCTTATAGTATCGATTGTACTCAGTGAGTACCTGAACGTACCACATTCATTTTCGTTTGTACCCCGCATCCCTAGACGTAAGGGGTGCGGAAAAAATCGTGCAGCGTCAGAAATGAAGGTACGGAAAAAATTTTCATGAGCAAGGATTCAGCATGGATAGTACTTGTATGTACTATATTTTTCCATTTCATTTATCAACCCCTTCAATACTTTACCCGCTTCTAAAATCTTAAATGTATGAAGGACGTCAGGAAAACATACAGATAACTTCTAAATCGTTAGTACTCGTTTGTACCAACGAAAATCATTCATTATTATTATTATTATTATTATTCTAATCAAATCACCTGATTCCATTTTTATCAACCGTAAAATCATCGTAATGGATTCCATATGTAGTTCGTGAAGTTTTGATGTGGGTACAAACGTCTCATCTTCCGTACTTCCACTCCCATCGCAGTACAAACGGAACAATTTACTGTACATGATAATGAGACCAAGTACAAACCATTGAGAGCTTCAAAAATAGTCGTAGATTATTCATAAAAATGATACAAACGTTTTTCTGAATTTTTCCGAGATAATCGCGAAAAACGAAATCGCCAAAAAAAATTAATTTAATTTATCTAGTATAGGGCATAGGAAGTGGAAAAACGCAATTCTGAGCCGCCCATCTGCCTATAGGGAACCCAAATTTCCTCAGGAATCGAATGGAATAGGTTTCAAGGCTCTATCTCTCATAGTTTCCGAGATAATCGCGAAAAACGAAAGTGCCAAAAAAAATTAATTTAATTCATCTTGTATAAGGCCTAGGAAGTGGAAAAACGCAATTCTGAGCCGTCCATCTGCCTATAGGGAACCCAGAATTGGTTTTAAGGCTCTATCTCTCATAGTTTCCGAGATAATCGCGAAAAACGAAAGTGCCAAAAAAAATTAATTTAATTCATCTTGTATAAGGCCTAGGAAGTGGAAAAACGCAATTCTGAGCCGTCCATCTGCCTATAGGGAACCCAGAATTGGTTTTAAGGCTCTATCTCTCATAGTTTCCGAGATAATCGCGAAAAACGAAAGTGCCAAAAAAAATTAATTTAATTCATCTTGTATAAGGCCTAGGAAGTGGAAAAACGCAATTCTGAGCCGTCCATCTGCCTATAGGGAACCCAGAATTGGTTTTAAGGCTCTATCTCTCATAGTTTCCGAGATAATCGCGAAAAACGAAAGTGCCAAAAAAAATTAATTTAATTCATCTTGTATAAGGCCTAGGAAGTGGAAAAACGCAATTCTGAGCGTTTTTATTCGCGTTAATCTATACTGATATTCATATTCGAGAAAACTGTTTACTAGTCTACGATCTCCATATCACTTATCAACTGATTCGATGTGTCTAGGTTATTGTCTAGATTTAATTTAAGAAGTAAAAGTTGAGGGTCCACGATCTCCCATAAATCCAGGGTAGAAATTACCTTGAATCCACGGGAAAACGTCCCATATATCCACGGTCAAAGTTACCGTGGAGCGTGTGAATAGACACTGCCAGGTAAAAATTCAAATTTTCACGAATGTAATATTCTGAAAAATGAAAAATAGGTAAATAAGTCGTATTACAGCTAATAAAGTTGCCAAGGGGAATCCACTCGTCAGATCCCTGTCAATGAGTATCGTAACTGATCTCCAGAGGGCTGGAGCTGCCACACCTCTCCTCCATACCTGACACACTCCACTGACATTAAATCGATCTTCGCAGGTCAAATTACGAAAAATTCTTATCAATATCAGCTCCGGCAGCTGATCCCACATCTCCTGTCACTCCTCATCCCCTTCTCATCCCCTTGGTTGATGTATTCAATCTATCGTAAAACAACATGGAGGATGATACACAAAAAGATGAAACAATTAATACATAACATATGACATTTATTCATTTGTATTCCTTCATTTTTTTTTCTCAAATCATTTTTTGTTTTTTTTTTTCTCTTCGATAGGGCTTTTTCGGTTAATCCTACGTGGTATGTGCACGATGAAATTGAGATCTATGTTTCATTAGGGGTTTTTAATTATACAATATTCAGCTGGGTTTTTCGATCGGGGAATGGACGACAGACTTTCACAAGACTTTTGAACTTTTCTTGAATTTTTTGAAAAATTATTAAAATTAAAAATAGTTGGTGAGAGGCATTCAACTACACTGTTGAGAATTTTTGGCTGAAATTTCGGATACATTTCTTGGAAATTTTTATCACATTACAATTCTACTGATATCACAAGGAATTTCGATATTTAACGTTCAAAATTTTATGGAAAATTTAGTGGAAACCGGAAATTTCAGTTCAATTATTCCATGAAAAATAATGAAAATCAGGAAAATTCAGGTGAATATATTCTTTAATGTTAATTAATTAAAAATTAGTTGGGAAATAGAAAATAGACAAATTCCAAAGAATTTTCAGTGAAATTTGAAATTTTTTAATTTTTTTCTAACGGTCTGCACAGAAAAATTTACCTGAAATTTCTGGTTGACTTTTTGGAAATTTCTATCACATTACAATTCCATTGAAATTGCAGAGAAGTTCGTCATTAAACGCACAAAATTTTATGGAAAATTTAGCGGAAGTTGTAAATTTTAGTTCAATAATTCCATAAAAAATAACGGAAATCCGTAAAATTCACGTAAATATGTTTTTGAATTCTCAATTAACCCTAAGTTCAGCATAATTTTACACCGAAGACTCATGTTTTGATTGAAATTTCAAGGTGGCTGGCTAATTCTCGTCTTCCTGTAGCGTAAAAATTTGAAATTCCAAACAATTCACACTGAAATCTGAAATTTCAGGAATTTCTTCCAACAGTGTAGCGACCCTCACCTGATAAATTAATGTAGTTTTTCAATTTTAATAATTTTTATAATCAACTTAGACATATTTTGTTACGTTTTTTCATCGGATTTCTCTCGTATCTGTTCATGTTGTTCAGTGCGCGTGTACAACAGTGTCCTTTTATTAATGTTTTTCATTATCTTCTCTTTTATCTTAAAACAATTATTAATTACATGCAACACTGAATATTCTCTGGACACATTAAACCGTGAGAACGTAATATATGTACATAACGTTTATTTATCTTAACCACGAATACAAATACATAAGGGGAACGAGGGGGGGGGTCGGGGGTCGGCAGAAAATGTTAATCGCTGTGATAAAATTGGGGATCGATAGAGATGTACATCGGTCGTGTAAATGCAAGTATACTTGTGTTCCCATTTGAGTCTCATTAATTAATTTGGATTTTAACAGATTAACGAATTGATTTCACGACGATTGAGGGCAAATAATTAATGCCAGACGGATGAACAAATGTTATTCAAAGTTTCTGAGTAATTAATAATTTAGTCAGTGATAACATACAAATGGAAATATCCCAGTTTGTTCGAATGATTGATTTCAGTGGAAGTTTCAAACAATAATCAACTCATTTTATCGTGTGATTCGACTTTTGATTCACTCTGCTGTGTTCCACACTGTTGCTAGTTGACTCTGTGGGACTTGTGGTGCTGTTAGTGGCTTGTGACACTGTCGACTGAGAGTTAGTCGCCTGAGTCGATGATACTACACTCTGAAACAATCGGAATTAATTAATTTCAAATTGGGAAATTGATGAATGGGGGTTTTATGATGAACAAATGATACAGGTATGAAATCATTTGATAAAAAAAATTATCTTATGATTTTTTTAAGAGATATTTGAGAAAAAAGGCAATTGATTTTGGCTTTTCCGTAGAAATTCTGGGGTCTGAATTTTCGGTTTTTTTCTATTCATTGTATTTTTTTTGTTTTATGTGGTAATTCATTAATTTTAGTTTGGAGAATTGAAGAATGAGGTTTTAAATCTAAACAAATGGTTCACGTATGAATTAATGTAATAGAAAAAATTATTTCATTTCTATTGGAGTTCTATGTGCAATTTTATCATGTGATTTTTCAAAGAAATATTTGCGGGAAAAAAAGGAATAGAGTTTGATTTTACTATAGAAATTCTGGGGCGTAAATTTTGTGTATTTTTTTTACAGTATTTTTATTTGTTTTTCAGACGAAAATTCAAGGAATAAAAACTGGAAAATTCATACCCAAGAATCGTTTTTGAAAAAAGTTGATTGTAAAAATGTAAATACTTTTGGTTTGGGAAAATTAAATTTTATATTAGGAAAGTGCTTAAAAAATGCAGTTTCAGAATTTTTGTTTGTGAGAGAATATTTTATTTTCAATAAATTCAAAGGCGAATCTTTCATAAAATTGAAAAATTATTTCTTCAATTTTAATTAACGGAAAATCCCGAAATTCTCTAAAATGTCCTGGAAATTTCTTCGAATTTTTGATTAATTAACATTATCTTGAATTTTCACGACTTGAAAAAATGAAAAACATAAAAATTTTCTGTAATACTGAAATGATGAAATTTTATCTTTCGAAATTTCAATAAAAATTCAATAAAATAACTGATTTGTCATTGAAAAATCCAACATTTTTCACTGAACATTTCCAAAACAATCATATAATAGACTATGCAAAACCCCAATACGAAAACTCGGTCTCTCCCCCAGCAGGGATGGCCATCGATCATTGGATGCTCCAATATTGAAAGAATTTGAACCTTACAGTAATTCCAGTTTACATATAATAATCGAAATGTAAAAATAGTAAAATAATTGCTAATCTAAATTTCCAATTGAGGATGAATGAAATAAATAATAATATGAAATTGTCCATTGTCTATTGAGTAAATAATACTAAATTTCATGAAAAGGATTTTCGATAAAATAATTCGGAATTTAAATATTTTAACTGCTGATTAATTTAATAATTAAAAATTGTAGAGTAATATTACCAAATTGACTAGTTCAAAACTTCACTATAATTCCAATTTATGATTATGGCTATCTCTGTCTCTCAGTCGAACATTACCAAAAATTTCTCAACAATTCTCCAGCCAAAAATTCACTTCTCCGACGTGTCTCAGGGGCATTTTTATTGAATAAACTTGGAGAATCGATCCCCAAGGATTTTCCACCAAAGTTTTCCTACGTGTTCTGAATGAAATCCTGGAAGTGAAGTGAAGAGGGCCGGCGGTGAGGAAGGGGTGAGGGTGAGTGAAGACGAAGGCACGAAAAGTCAACGTAGAGTCGGAGGAGTGGACTCATCGTTGAGGCAACTTGGACGTCAGTCGTTTGCCCTCAACTTTTGCAATCGGGAACTGACATTTTTTTTCATTTTTTTTTTCAGTTGATTTTTACTCAACCTCTTCTTATTTTTATACTCTGGGGACACATACCCCTGGATCATAGCTTGATTTTTCCAACACGAGTTATCGAACACGTTTCAAAAAGCCGACGACGAGTCTCGGATATTGCTATCCCACCAATGGGAATACTTCTGGTGCAAAAGTTGCACGATTTTTCACGTGTCGAAGCACTCTCTGCACTTTCTTTTTATCATCCACTCCTTTTTTACTTCTTTTTAGCCTTTTTTCCCCAACCCCAGTTTCGGGATTTTTTTCTCTCTTTTTTTTTGCAATTACGGGTCTTGCGATGGCAAAAGTGGTGGTAGAGGAGGGGGATTGGGTGGAGGGGGGGGGTCATGATCGACCACCCGTTGCTTCAGGAATGGCGTAGCCGGTTCTAATTGCGTTCGCAGTTACGAAACTGGAAAAGTTTTTTCGTTATTTACGCAAACGATGGTATGAAAACTCGGTTGAAAATCGTACGATTTACTATTTTTCTTTTTCGTTGTGTTTTTGCTTCATTTGGAGGCAACATTTTTCATCTGCCGAGCCCGATAAAAATTGTCCATTTGTCCTGAAGGGAAACGGGAAGCAAAATGGACCGCTTTCAATCTTTGATATCTCGGAATTGGCAGAGTCGAATTAAAAAAATCTCGCGTCATTTGGAAGATATTTTTTCAGGCTTTGAAATGAGCTCAAACTTATCCGAATTGCATCGTCAGTTTTTGTTTGATTTTGAGTTAATTTCAACTGAAAACACGATTGAAAATCGTACGATTTACTATTTTTCTTTTTCGTTGTGTTTTTAATTTATTTAGAGGGAACATTTTTCATCCGCCGAGCCCGATAAAAATTGACCATTTATTTTGAAGGGAAGATTGAAGCAAAATAGATCGTTTTTAATCTTTCATATTTCGGAATTGGCCGACGCGAATTTCTAAAATTTGACGTCATTTGGAAGTTATTTTTTCAAGCTTCGAAATTCGTCCGGACTTATCCGAATTGCGTCGTTAGATCAGCAGTTATCAAAAATTTAATAAGCTAAAATTTTTCTACACCATAACCCGCACTTACGGTGGCTGTTATTTTTTATTGAAGGAGTGCCCCAGGGGGAAATGAAAATTGAGCCATCAGTTAACTCGACGGAATTTCCGCTCGAAAACACGGCAGAACAATCCATTTAGCTCCATTAGTTCCCGACCGACTCTAAAAATGCAAAAAAAACTCAATTTCAAACTAAAAATCTTGTTTCATAAATTTCCGGTGTAGGTAATACAGTTGAGTGAGTTTATTTGTGGTGTTTTCCGGCGGAAATTTCCCTCGCTCTCGAGTACCATTTTCCTCACCCCTCCTCCTGCCCACGCATCCTCTTGATACCCTACAAATCCCCTGTAACGATGAATTCTATATTTGTCGTTTGACTCCCCCACATACCCCAATTATCCTCAAAATTCCTCGAAAACTCTCCAACCCTATCAATATTCCCCCTCGTCCTACGTAATTTAATTCAATGAAAGAATTTCTCTAGTTTTAAATACCATAGACTCACACTTTTCATCATAAATTCATAATTTGTTGAAACATCGTCATGTTTTATTTTTGGTTCCGAATGGGAGCTCTGTAATCGTTCAAATTTAAGTTCTCGATTTTTTTGGAAAAGTTTTTTTCGGCCTAATGACGAAATATAGTATTTGAGACCTCATCCATACGTGTGTGCGTATGTAACAAAGTTTTTCTTCAATTGTTCACTAATGAACGGACGGAATTGATTTTTTTCATCAAATGTAGGTATGGTTGAGCCCTATTAATCGTCATTAATTGAAATTTAATTCATCGATTAGTTTTTTCAATTTTCGAACTTTTTCGAAAATCGATTGTCCCACGATAACTAGAAAAATGTCCTGAATTGATTGAATGATGGCTTAAAAAATTTATTTGGACGTCCTTTTGACCGAGTTCGAAGATGAAGGCGATAGCAATAATCGTTATTTTGATTTATTTGAAAATTTACAAAAATTTGGTATTTTTTGAAATTCAGAATTCCGGGGATAAATTTGAATATCATGCTTCAAATGAATTCAATCATAGTTTAAAATGTTTGTTTTAATGTCATTAAGTCGAAGTTAAAAGATGATTACGATAGTTATATTAGTTGATTTGATTTTTATGATGATTGTTGAAAATTCCGAATTTTTCATAAATTTCCCTGATAGTGAGCTTTCTGATGGTTTCTTCAAATGTGATGTTTCAAATTCATTCAAGTGTGTATAAATTAAATTTTTCTATTAACATTTTAACGAAAGGCTGAGGGGAGAGATAGAACCGCAAAAAGACAAATGATTGTATAGAAGAAACGGATAATAAGAATAATGATGATGATAACATTCAACTAAGTAGAAAAGAAATCTTATTCAATTCAATAAAATGAAGCAAACAATGAATTGTACATGTTAGAAGGAAATTATATGCAAAGTAACCAGTCGGAAGTATATTACTAATTTATTAGCAAAAATAACTGTACTATATGCAATACAAGAGCAATTTCCCCACTTGTTTAAAATGATTCTGTGACCAGACTGCTGAGAAGAAAACGTAAACTTTAATGGACCAACTCTGAAATGACCAAAAAACTCAATTTCAGCCTAAAAATCTTGTCCCAACAATGTCCCTAGTAGGTATTGCAGTAGAGTGAGTTTATTTGTGGTGTTTCCCGGCTGATATTTCTCCGGCTCTCGCGTACCATTTTCCCAATCCCTACTCCCGCCCACGCGTCTTCTTGATACCCTCCAAATCCCCTGCAACGAGAGATTCTATGTTCCCCGCTTGACTCCCCCGAATCCCCCAATTACCCTCCAAATTCCTTCAAAAATCTCCAAACCCTATTAGCATTTCACCCCCGCCCCACCAAATTTAATTAAACAAAAGAATTTCTCAAGTGTTAAATCCCGCAGACTCAAACTTTTCCGTAAATCTCAAACGAAAAATACGGTTGTATCAGTTATACACTTATAAAACTGAGAAAAACTCACCGATCCACTCTGCGATACTTCCCTCCACAAACTTTTATTTACAATATCCCACTCTACCCCATCTCCCTCCCTCCATTCCCTCCCCTCATCCTTTAACTTTTAGAAACGAGTTTTACCCGCGGTAACTCGGCAAGGTGCATAGGGGCGTTTGTACAATTCTCGTGGGAGTAAAAAATGAGGAAAGAAATAGACTCTAGATAAAGATAAAGAAACGGAAAATGAAAAAAAAATCAACACAAAGTATAAAAACTAAAACCTCATTCAAGCCAAGGAAGTAGCCATTCGTCCTTAACTCTGGCCCATTCACTCTGGCAACAAGCCGGTGCTACTAGTTTCTGAAGGCTTCCCAAGGTTTCCAAGAGACCGAGTTGTCCCATGAGTTTCGTTAAATTTTCCGTGGAGTGTCTTTCCAACCGGAAGTACAGGGGTAAAGCGTGCAAGCCCAGGAGGAAGATAGTTTTAAGGAATGTCTGCCTCTACTGACGTAACTTGGTTCACTGGGACTTGAAAAACTAGCGACGAAAGATGGGTCAAAGGAGAGCTGAGAAATGAGAAGTAGCGACGTTTGAACTTCACTCAGACTTGACACTTGACGCTTTAGCCCTAGAAAGGACGTATGAATCTTTGAAATATTTCAATGCAGTACTCACATTCACGTTATGTCTCAGTTCCTCGAGTTGACTCTCAAGTACATCCGTTCTGTTGGTCTTCTGTCTCTCCTGCCTCTTGAAATTTGTGCTTTTGATCCACTGTCCCAGGGAGTTGTCCTGTCTGGCTAGCATCTGACTGGCAGGATCATCCCTGTCGACACTGTTGTCAGAGTGATCAACAGTCTCTTCAATGTCATTCTTCCTCCACTCGTTGCCAGGAAATCTGGACGGTGTAACAGCAGACATGGCTATGAAAGCATTTCTAGCTCTGTTGCCATCCAAATTAGCTCCAGGCTTGGCCACAGGTCCAGCGTTGACCTTATGATACGAAAATTGCTTCCACTTTGGTGTCCAAGTGGATGACTGACTGGGCTTTCCAAACTCAACATTCCAATCCGTCAGCTTTCCAAGCTCCAAGCTGTCGCCCCAGGTGGTCTTGTCCTCCGGCGATCCCCAGGAGGTCTTTCCCCCCATCTTCCAAGTTCTCGAGGCGTCCCTCTGCGGAAGACTTGTGGCTTTACCTATCTCGTTGCTGTCAGACTTGTCGCCTTTTCGGGATTTATCATCCTTCTCTAGCATTCTGTTCTGCTTGTCCAGTCCCAGCTTTCTTACAAGTTCCGCATTAGGGTTGTAAACCTTTCCGTTCTTGTCCTTCGGCCAGGGCTTAGCTCCGGATAATTTGAAAGGCCACGTCGCCGGGTCTGAAGTCAAGCTGTTCCAGGTCTTCATGGTGAGTTTCGGCAGGATAACGTCCTTTGCTGGCTCCGACGCCTTCCACGGCTTCATCCCACTCCTAGGTAGGGCACTATCTTTGCTGGATCTCGTCTTAGCAGTCTCATTAATTTCACGATGTTTCGTCAGTGTTAACGAACCTGGTGGATTACGGAAAATTTTACTCCGTTGCTCTGTAATCAATCCCCAGGGTGTATCGACACTCCTGTCTGACGACCACTGGCTACCAAATTTATTGTACAACCTTCGATTACCAATTCCCTCGTCATCCACTTCAATAACTGGACGCAGTACTGTCCACGGTTTGGATCGATACCTGCCAAAATTCTGTCTACTATCGTCGTAATAACCCTCCATCGATCTAGACGGCTCGTACCCAGAGTATCGCCATGATTTACCAAACAGGCCTTGATGACGTGGGTAGTCAACGTCCGGATATGTATCTTCGTAATCCTCCACACTGTCATCACCGAAACCCCTGATTCTGTTCATGTAATGGTGATATCGATCGTACCTGTCTGTGACCCTTGGCCTTTGATAACTACGCTCCGGAAGATCGTAATCAAGCACGTGAGAGCCCGTGTTGGTTGGCATATCGTAATTGGATGCCGAGTCATGTTGATTCAAGGGTGAGCCCTTCTCGTGGGTGTTTACTTTACCAAAGTGAAACTTTCGGGTATAATCCATACGTGTTTCATCACTCGAATACTTGTCGTGATGATCAGGTAATTTTGGGGATTTCGGGTAGTGGAGTTTGGAGATATTTGTGGGTTCCTTGCGATTGGCTGACCAACCGGGACCGAACAGACGCTCAGCTACTAGTCTCCAGTGGGTTTCCGGTTTCGGTGGAGTTGTCTGGGTGGTCAGGATTGGGGGCGGGGGAGAGGTAGTTTGCGGGTGGCGTGGCTTCTTCTTCTTTTTTTTCTTCTTTTTGGGCTTCTTCGGTGGGGGCTTCTGGTTGGTAGGATGCGGCGAGAGGGTTGTGAAGAGGGGAAAGTCCGCTGGGTAGCCTCGCTTCCGAGAGTCCAGGGAGGACAGCTCTAGGTCGTCGTCCGAATCTTCTGTAAATATGAGTTTGGAATGATTTTATATTGTCTGTTGGGAATTTTGAAGACTGCGGTCTGCGTTATTCGATTATCATTATGTTATTTTTGAAGATTGAAAAGACGTCTATGAAATGGAAAAAAATTGAAGGGTTCAGGAGTTGAATCGGATGGGTTAAATTGAGGAATGTGTTAATCATTTCACATTCACATTCAATCAGTTGGAATTTTTCTACGGATATTTCTCATGATCTCGACAAAAATCTAATTTTTGTGAAAGATATTAATTTCCTTCTATCAAGTTAGTTAATTTCCCTCGAGTAAATCTGTTCCACTCCATCAAATATTCTCGCGTGGAACATATAGTAACAATGATATTGATACGTCACTGGTATTCCTGGTTTTCGCGAACTTCAATTCTGAATAGTGTCATATAAATGTTACCAGTTTTCACCCAGACCGATTGTCATTCATATTTTTAACTCTCCGCGATCGTAAAAGTGTAAAAGTAGGAGGGAATATTCTGTAATTTATTCAAGGGAATTTTCAATGCTCAAGTGATGTAAAAACGAGATGGAAGAAAGCTCGAGAGAATGGGTAACAGCAGTTGCTCTTCGCTATGGACGGCTAATCACGACGGGCTGCCGCACAGCGGGAAGGTAATTAAGGTAGAAAATGGCAGCGTGTGACTGTATAAGTACCGGAGCAAGTGACGTTGCTGTGAAATTGGTGGAACAATTGTTCGGCTAATAATCTCGGGCTATGGGTGCTTTACATGTTGAGGCTCAGTTTCTGGGTAACCATTTTAGCCTCGACGTCCCTTTCAACTCGTACATTCGCCACCCACAACTATCAATTTCCATAGTTCTGGGGGAGGAAGGGTTGTAAAGGCTTTGACGTTGATCCGCTGGTCCTGTGTTTACTACTAGTCGGATTATTCCGTTCTGGGTGGAGTACGTTAATGTAATTTCATGAATTATCTCATGTATGTGGTGCATTCAATGGAGAGAAATAGAAATTTGCGGGGAGTGAGAGTCGAGTAATTCCATTTAGCTGGTAATTGGGGAATATCTGGGGGCATTTAATGAGGAGGTGCATTATTTAAGCTGTAAGAGGTAGTTAACTTTTTTTTATGGAGGGAGTAATGGAAAATTTAATGTTGCTTTGAGAGATAATCAACAGCTTGTTAAGTATGAGATTATAGCGCTGAATGGGTTCACGAGGAAATGGCTCAGACAGTTTTTTTTTATTTGAAGCATTCCTCTTTGCTGAGGGCTAGCCTTGCAGAAGCTTTTCTTCTTGGGGAATTAATTTTTGATGAGATTCTCAACTTTTATGAGAATCTCTTGTTTTTAGAACAGAATTCTTTATGACAACAACACTTTTTACAATTATTTAATTCTTTTTCGTAAAGTAGAAATTATAATTGTTTTGAGATTAGATTAGAAAAATGAAATTTAGATTTTTAGGCTGACGAACATTTTGTAATGATTTTATTATTTACACTTTGTAACTCCAAATTTTATTTTCAGGGGAAAATGTTCAAACATTTTTCAATTCGACGCATTTCTTTTTGCTGAAAACTACTCTTTCAAAACCTTTTTTTCTTCTAAAATCAATTCAATACCGAAGCGGTAAAACGGTCTCGTTAGCTCTCAATTGAATTTTTTGAGAATATCTCCGAATCTAAGGGAGATAGCGAAATTTTCGTAATTACCTTTTTCATAGCCCTTAATTTGCGCTACAAAAAAGGTTATAGCAAGAATTTTGCTATCCGCCTTAGATTCCGAGATATTTATTGAAAACTAACCACTAGTCAAATTAGTCCTGACTCGTGTCACCTCTTCTCTACTGAATTTCTGATAAAATTCCGAAATTTTTCAAAAATCAATTGTTTATAAAAAACGGCATCTAAAAGACAGAACGTTTTGAATTAATACTCTTCCTCAAGACGTGAATATTCCAATTGTTTTCAAATTCCCAAACTGTTTCTCAAGAGCTCAAAATGTCGAAACAATTTTGGATTTTCACCAATAAAATAACAAAAGCACTGCAATACGTTCGTTAGTCTAGGATTAAATGCAAGCTTTGATGTTAAACTCCAAACGTTGAAAAGAATTTCAGCGAAAAAAAAATGGCCAAAGCTCTCGTATATCTTTAATCCGTCGAAAATTCCACGGAACAAGCATCTGAATTCCACTCAGTGTAGATATGCCTGGAATTCAAACAACATAAACAAACCCTTGCCCCCCCCCCCTCCCTGCCCCCCTGGGATCGCGTTAATCAATAATATCCCCCTCCATTTACTCACTCATAGTCAGTAGTCGGTGTGCTCGTTCCCACCGTTCTGGATTCTTAGCAAGCCTCACCAGTAGCTTCATCAAGCTCTCAGCCTGCACCCACTCCTCCCCCTGGTCAACAGAGCAAGGAAACATACTTCAGTCAAACTAGTGCCCAACAGTACTGCACAAGTACGATGGATAGTGGGCGGTTTGGAGGTGGGGGCGGGGGTTGGGGAAGAGAGAAAATGGCTTGGAGAGTGCGGAGAACCATGTCTTGAACTGTACACACATCACCTCGTTCACGAGGAGCTAGAGTTACTGGGGGAGGAAACTTGGACAATATAAGCCGAGGCTGGTGCACGTAGTCTCGATCAGGGTCGACAGAAGGGACTGAACGTGCTCACGTTAACGATGACAAATGAGAGGGATACTCTTCAGGGATAACAGAGGTAGATAAGGATTACATGACTGTGTGAGCATTTGAAAATGGGGGATTTGGAGAAATGAAAAATGCGAATTTTTTTTTTCCTTTTTTTCTTCAGTAATATTTTTTTTTTCATAGATACGGTACTGGCGGAGATGACGGCATTTTTCTGTAGGTTTTCTATCTTCTGTGCAAAGTTGGTATTTTTTTTTCGAAGTTTTTAAAAATATGAAATTTTTATTCAGTAGCGAAGCGGCAAAAGACGTTTTTGACTGTTGGCCAGTTTTCAATGAATATCTCGGCATCGAAGGTAGATAGCACAATTTTTGTCAGAACCTTTTTTGTAGAGTACATTGAGAGCTACGAAAAAGGTTACTACAAAATTTTTGCTATCTCCTTTACATTCGGAGATATTCCTAAAAATTTGGCTACAATCAAAGTCGACTTGGACTATTTTACCGTTTCGATACTGAATTAATTAATTATTACTTGAAAATCGCAGGATTTGATTATGGATTTTTCATGAGCCTCTTTTGTGCATCTGTAAATTTTTTGAAAACTATAAAAATGTTCTGCTACTGTAAAAAGATCTGAATTTCATGAAATCATTGTTTTGACGGTTTCTTCTTTGCTTAAAAATATTATTTACCGAGGGAGAATGCCTTGTGCATTTGAAACTTTGCGGAATATCTGGATATTTTGTTGAAGGCTTGCGCTTTTCTTCTCTTTGTTCCTCTGAGTTTATGCATATGAGCGATGATAAGGAGTGGCAATTATATTTTTGTGGAAAAATACAGCAATTTCTGCAGCTCTGAAGATATTAAAAATGCCATGGAGGAAAATAAAGGTCTAATTAAGTAATTTAATGGGAAATACCCTGGGTTATAAGACAGATATCAAACTTTACTAAGAGACATTCCAGATAGCTCTCACTTTTCGCTACAAAAAAAGATTCTTACAAAAATTTCGCTATCCCTCAGAGATTTCAAGATATTCTCCAAAAACTAATTCCTTTCCCATAAAAATCGGCTCATCCACGGCTACACTACTAAATTTTCCTCTTTCCAATTATTCATTCCTTTGATTGATATTGAAATTAAGAAGACCATTATTCAATAAATGATTGAGAAACGTTCGCCATAAAAAACTCAGTGAGAAAAATAAAAAATCTAAAAAAATGTGAAATCAGAATTCGTTCTTCTTAATTCAGCACCGTGTGAAAATTTATCGAGGAGATCGCAAGATTCGACAGGGACTGATGGATTACACCAGCTCAATAGTTCCCCGATAAATTCCGACGAGCGAAAAAATAAAATAGGAGCATGAAGGGCGTTTTTTGCAATTTTACGTGAGGATGTAGTTCCAATTAGTGTATTCAGTTGTTGAATATCTCCAGATCTAAGACAGATATCCACATTTTCCTCAAGATCTTTTATGTAGCTCTCAATCTTCTCTAAAAAAAGTTTTCTACAAAAATTTCGCTATCCCTCAGAGATGTCAAGATATTCTCCAAAAACTAAATTTTTTTCCATAATTATTACTAATATAATTATCACTAATTCTTTTTCCATATTTTCACTACCAAATTTTCCTCTTGCCAATCATTCATTCCTTTGATTGATATTGAAATTGAGAGGACCACTATTCAATAAATGATTGACAAACGTCCGCCATAAAAAGCGCAGTGAGAAAAATAAAAAATCTAAAAAAATGTGAAATCAGCACTGGTTTTTCCTAATTCAGCACCGTGTGAGAATTAATCGATAAGATCGCAAGATTCGACAGGGACTGATGGATTACACCAGCTCAATAGTTCTCCGATAAATTCCGACGAGCGAAAAAATAAAATAGGGGCATGAAGGGCTCTCTGCAAACCCGGTCATCCTCTAGAGTCTGGCAGTTTCGGCAGGTGACGGATCGATTGCCAACGACACTTGCCCGTTTTATTTCAGTCATTTCCCCCTTTGTTTTTCATTTCCATCCGGTTTTATGGTATGATTTCCCGTGAGATATTTATCGTCGCAATACAGCTGAGGGAGAAAGTTAATATCGGTTGATGTTGAGGTTTAAATGTTTTCCTGTGATCTAGATATAGTGGGTCAGAGGGTAGATAGAAAATCCAGTGACATAGAAGACATTTCGGCAGCTCGCCAGGAAATTGACTCGTGAATGGGTGGAAGGGGGAGGCAAATCCTCCTCTTTGATACCTCCTACTTTGTCATGTGAACGAGGGGATTCACATCTAGATGATAAAGTTTAATGGCTCCAATTCTTCGGGAATATTTAGAGTTATTTTTGGTCTCTGAATATTTCTGAAAAATCAACTTATTGAATTGACTGCAATCAAAGCAAGTGGACAATTGCATTTTTTAAATAAATGAGTCTAGTTATTGCTTACGGATGGGTTGGCTTTTCTTAATTCTATTTTATTATTCTCCTCGTCTATTTTTTCGGATCGTAGTTCTATCGTACTGATAGAATCAAGAGGGTATTGTTATCAATTTTTTGGGCCATGACTCATTCCATTTTGATGACAATTTTTTGAGTGATCGTTAAAAAAAACGATTTTTGGAAAATAGCATTTTTTAAAATTTGTTTGAAAATTTAACTTTAATTGGTGTCAATGAATAGAGCTTATTAAGGTCTATATTCATGAATATTCAGCGTCATTGAAATTTCATTTCGCACAGAATTATAATTTTTTTAAACATTTGTTGTTTACAAATAAATAATTGAAATTGTTTAAACTTTCGAAAATCTTATTTTTTTGGACATGAAAATCCATTTCTGGTAAAATTTGAAATGTGTATAAATTTGTTACGATTCTGGCCAAATGATTTTCATAGTTGAAAATTGGTTGTATATTAATTATTTATAGAAAATACTCGTAATTTTAAAAAATTGCAATTTTTCAATTATTTCATCAATATTTCTCCAAAAGTAAACTTTCCATTTTTTATTTAAATTTTTTACCTATTTTCTAACGGTTCAATATCGCGATTCAAATTCCGACCTGCAAAGTTTCAAATAATAAACTCATTGCAAAATTCCCGGGAAATTAGGGTCAAATGGGCCTCAAATGAAAAGTAGAGAAACATTTCACTGGAGAATAACTAACCAAAGTAGTTGGATATCCTTAAAGCCATCTCCACGTCAAAAAAATATTTCGTTGATCTAAATAAAGACTTCCCCATTTTTGAATGAAATCATTGTTCAGACGGTGAAGAGAAATAATTGTAACATGTAATTCTCGATTTGTAGTTGACGAATTATTCATTATTTTTGAAATATTGTTGAAGTGAACAAGAAAATCTCAAATAAACAGGCGCAGTTCAGTGAAATGTGTTATTTCTCTCCGTGTTTATAAAGCTATTTGAGTTGAATACTCATCGCAAAAGGAAGTATCAACCTGTAGAAAAATTCTTCACCCTTCTTCGATGAAAGAAAGCCTTTGAGGTCTAGGGAAACTGAATTTCAGAATCGTATTCACCGAGTTCAGTATTTCTCCATACGAGAAAATTCTATCACAATATCATCGAATCTCTTCTGACAAGAATTCTCTACATACAAAGGTATTTCCCTCTGGGGTCAATAGTTCATGATAATATTCATCACGAGTATTTCTCCAATGATATTCGATTTCTCTATTTCGAGTGGTGGATTCCCTTTTCACCCAATGAATAACCAAAGCTCCCTTTTCCCTAGATGAATCCCAATTTTCTAATCATACTATTCATATTAATGGCATGAAACCTGTGATCGATCACCCATTCGCCCACTCCGAATGCCTTTTTGTTCCTGTCATTTCATTCAAGTCTAGAATCGCCGGTACGTGAAACGCTGAATTGGTCTGGTTCAATCTCGATTTATAGGAGAGATTGAGTAGAGATGGGAAAGTTTCGGAAATACGTAACAAAAAAGAAGAGATGAGAATGAGGTAGAAGATTGAGATGTTGGATTCCTTGCTTCGATCGGGATCCAATACTCAGAAATCAACGTCAAAATATTGTTTGGGGATATTTCTTTATATTTCGATGCATTACACTCGCTCAATAGTTCCCCGATAAATTCCAACAAACGAAAAAAAACAGGCACATGAGGGCCCGTTTTTCCTATATTACTTGAGGGTGAAGTTGCAATTAATTAATTTAATTGGTGAACATCTCGAGATCTAAGACACACTTAAAAATTTTTGTCTGAATTTTTCGTATTTTTCCGGAAAGTTTGTCATTGAAAAATCAAATATTCCATTGATTTTCTGTGCGAATGATCTGGAAATCGATAAAATATTTGATTTTTCAATTCAATTATTCTGTGAAAAATCAGAAAATTCAGGGAAAAATTGGAAATTCATGTCATTTTGTCATGTTCGATTGAATATTCAGAAACATAAAAATGATAGACCTAAAAAAAAGATGAAATCAGATCGCAAGATTCGACAAGAACTGATGGATTGCACTCGCTCAATAGTTTCAATCCTCAAGAATCAACGTCGAAATAATGTTTGTCGATATTACTTCATATTCTTCACCCACAGCTCAAGTTGAGAATGAAGTAATCGTAGTGAGCTGATGCTCACCTTTGTCCATCTGACAAACAACTGATGAAACATCCTCAAGTCTCTCATTTCTCTTCTCTTCGTTTTCTGTATTGGGTAAAGTCAATTTGTCACGTGGCGTAGGAAACATGAGTGCCTTACCAAATCGTTGTCAATCATCTCCCGTGTTCTCCCTGGAGAATATCCCGCACTTCTCTCTGCCAATCTCCCAACAATTTCCGGTGACTCACCAGTCGTCTCGTTGATGATCAGCTCCTTTTGACTGCTCAGCTCTTTCTTCACCGTTGGAACACGCTTTGACTTTCCATCGGCAGTTCTTTTGTACTTGAAAAACAAAGTGGAAAATTGCTTTGGTTTTCATTCAGTATAAATATTTCTATTTGCACATTATCATTTATTATTTTATAACATTTTGGTAAATTTAATTATATTTCTTCTTTGATCACTGTGTTAGATTTCTTATAAAAATGATAAAATTCATAAAACGGTATTGGAATTTTTTTTTCATGTATAATTGAATGAATATCTTCGGAATTCTGATTTTTAGAAAATACTGAATTTATGTGCTTCCGAATCACATCCGAAATTTCCTGTTTTGAGTCAGGATAACTCGTTTTGGCCTCAGGAGTTCGAAAATTCGATCTTTTTAGCTCACAACAGATTGATATAATACAAAAACTTCCGAAACTTCAATTTTAACTATAACAAAGTCTCCATTCGGCAACAAAAGGAAATCAAATGCCTTAATTTTTACTCAATTACGAACGATTATATTCCACTTATCGAATTTATCGGACTCCTTCAATGATCAGTGAATCGAATTGAGCGGGACAATGCCTTCATTTTCATCGAGCACTTGAGTGTTCCTCCAATATCTTCAATTATTTACGATCAAATCAAGAAGAAGAAAGCAATAAACTCACCTCAATTCCTTTTTCCCTCTCCTCCTCAGTTTCATCGCTTATAGCCTCGTTTGACGTCATACTCTCGTCAGAGCCCTCCTCTCCATCCTCCTCCTCCGCGCTCTTCTCTCGTGAATCAAAATTCCTGGTGCCCCTTGTCTCATCACCAACGGCACTGCCCTCCGAATGATTCACTCCAGACGTTGAATTGCTACGCTCGTCCCTGGACATTGCCTCGTGCGACTCGGCAACCTCACGTAACTCCTCCTCATACTCATCCACGTCCTCCTCAGTCTCATCCTCCTCATCCTCGTACTCAGCATCACCAGCCGCCTCCGTCGTCACATCCTGAGGCCATTCATTCCACCTTTTTATATCGCTCTCTCGACCCTTTTACGTCTTTATCTTTTTCTTTTTCTTTCACTTCTTTTGTTACGTGTCTTCTCCCTTTTTCTTTATACCTTTATCTCGACACTGAAAGTCCTCATGAATACTTACCGAGACTCCACCTTCTGACTCCGCAGACGCTTCTCTACTGTTGTTCTCTTCAACACCTGAAAAAGAAGATGAAATTGTTTTATTATAAATTTTGAAGCATTTTTGCGTTTATGGGTGAGACAGAGACATCTGAAAAACCATTGTTAGCGATGAGAATTACTAATGAAGAAAAAAAATGAAAAAATTTGCGTGACTTTCAACATTCTGCGATTTGTGTGAGGTCATAAAGCAGTTGGAGTGAGAGTTCAAAGGACCTTCATCTAATTCATATAATCTTCACATAAACCCCATAAAACCTGCATGTGACCTGCATCTAACCCTGTATGACTCCCATATGACCTTCAACTGACCTAAGATGACCCCCTCACGAACCTCATAAATTTCCTGTGAGCCTCATAAGACCTTTATCGAATCTTATGAAATCCACATAACCTTTATGTAAACCTCATAAGATCCCCATGTAACCGTCATCGGAGTCCATATGACCCTGAAATATTCTCCATGTAACCGATAATAGCTCACATGATCTTCATTTCACGTTGAAACTCATAAGATCCTTATATGAACCTCAATATGGCCTGACTCCTATTAATTTTAATTATGATCTGTGTGACCTTCTTATGACCCTTATATGGCCTTCATCTGACCTGAAATCCCATAAGACCCTTAGATAAACCTCAACATGGCCCATTTGATCTTTACATAAACTTTTTAATAATTATAATTTTAGATGACGTTTATTGAAATCCCCTATGACCTTCTTATGACTCTCATAAAACCTCTGTGAAATGTCATGTGGCTCTTATGATGGTTTATATGGCTTTGTATGACCTGCATTCGACCTTAAAGCCCTTTATGACCCTCCATACGGCCCCATAAGACCTCAACGAGGGTCTTAGAGTTCCTATGAAGGTTTATATGACCTTCATTTGACCATAAAGCTCGTAAGACCTCTATATAAACCTCAATATGGCCCCTGTTGACCTTCATATGAATTTAATAATAATTATAATTCTAGATGACCTTAATTTAAATCTCGGATGACCTTCTTATGACCTCCATAACACCTTGTGAAGGTTCATAGGGCTCGTACGAAGGTTTATATGGCCTTACATGACCTCTATATGATCTCCACCTGATCCCTACATAACCCTCAGATAATCGTCATAATAATTACGATTCCATCATTTAAATCTCATTCGACCGCCTTACGACTCTCATTAAATCATCATTTGACCCTATATGACCTCTTCCATGTCCCGAAAAATCTTATAATCTTCATACGTCTCGTGACCCTCATAAAGCTGTTCCAGCCTTTATGGATAGATAGAGTTATGAGAGGGAAATGGAAAACTATAAAATATTTTCTCTTGTTTTTATTTTTTTCTATATTCGTAAAAGTGAAGATAAAAAAATTTAACGAGAAGTTATTTCCGGGAGTTGGTCGGGCGGGGAGGGAGAGGGGCGGCGGGGGAGGGGAGAAAATTAAATAGAAGTCTGTAAATTCTTGACAGTAATACCAATAAACTTCGGGAAAACGTTTGAGGGTGCAGTTGCTACCAGACAGTTTGGAAAACGTGTGAAGTAGGTAGGAAAATATTGGATGTTATTACATCCAAGTATCAGAAAATACAAGCACTTGCTGCTGACACTGAACCCGATAGCTCTCAATAGACACTGAAAGTTTTTATACCAAAGTACATTGGCAACAGCCAACACATAATGTACACTTCAGTTGTATGGAGTAGTTGGGTGAAGTAGCATAACTCGAAATAGAGTGGACTTTACTCATGGGCACGGGCGCATACTCGAAGAGGCTCCATTAGCCATCTGCTTCATTATATCTCATTTTCATTAGTGCTACGATGGCCTTACGTAGCGTCTCATTCGCCTTTGTACTCTCTCTCTCTCTCTCTCTCTCTCTCTCTCTCTCTCTCTCTCT